GATTGTTGCTGTTTTTTGGGTTTTTTTGGTCTTTGCCTCTCACCATCCAGCTTCTATTTGGCAATGAGTTCAACGAACTTTCCTCAAGTCGAGCCTATTTTGCCTATGGCAGTAGAGTTCACACTGTCCCTGTTTTTATTTACAGACTGCCTTGATGTGCCCAGGGCAAGGGTGGCACCACCATCTGTGGTGGGACTTAAAAGACACTAGATGTGGCACTTGTGGACGTGGTTAATGGAGGACTTGGCAGTGCTGGGGTAACTGTTGGACTCGACGATCTTAGGGGTGTTTTCCAAACTTAGTGATTCAGTGGTGCATTATCCTGACCCACAAGCTTTTTCCCATTACTATCTCTCAATTTCTGAAGGGGATTGAGAGCAGCTGGCCAACCTCAGCCCACTTTGTATTTAAACAGGCTGCTCTAGAAGATGAAAGGCTGGAGAAGCTCAGCTCCTGGCTTCCCTTCCCCCAGCTTCCAAAAATTTTTAAAATAATCAGGAAAGGGAAAAATTACCTTTTCCTTCAGATCAATTCCACAACTACCAATTCTTATCCAGCACTATGACATTCTGAATACACAAAGCACAAAAATATCGGTGGATCTGGAGAGAATTTGAGTGACAGGTGACAGTCAAGACGATCCTAGCACAGCTAATAAAAGAATTTATTGTAAACATACGTATATTACACAATTATACAGTATAATACAGATAACATGAAGGATTTAAACACTCAGCATTACAAACAGGGGCAATAYTTGTAAAGAAATCTTTAACTCTTCAGAAAGCCAGAGAAATATACTGCAACATTTCAACACACCGCACCTGTAGCATTCCACAAACACCTGAAGGGATGTGTGAAATTCCACAACCTCTAACTTATGTCCAAGTGATTCCCACAGGAACTTCTCACCGACATATTTTTCTCCCACCACTATTCAAAATGCAAAGAACTTGTTGCAAACTTTCCTACATCTGAAGAACTAAACAATTGTGTCATTTCTATCTGCTTTTAACAGTTTCTTTTTCTTCAGCAAACCTTATATACTATTAATATACCATCTCCTACCTAGGAGAATAACCTGTGGTTGCTAGAAATGTAGCAACAGATCTCCACTACAAGAACCCCATTAAGAACGAGAGGTCTGTCCCTGCCTGCTTGAGGGCCAAGTTCAGGACTTTCTTTCTGAAACTCCTTTCCTCACAGAAAAGCAGGACACAGGCAAAAAAAGCCACAATTTGCAAACAGATGCCTGTCCAAAGACAAACTCCTGCATCCTCAAAAGCTGCTCTGGGTGTCATCAGAATCCCAGAAACGAAGCCTGCAAGAGACAGGGGCTGGAAATGCATGTGTATAGAATCACAGAACATGCTGAGTTGGAAGGGACCCGCAAGGATCACTGAGCCCAACTCCAAGCCCTGCAGAGGATACCCCAAGTCACACCACATATCTGTGAGTGTTGTCCAAACCCTTCTTGAACTCAGACAGGTTTGGTGCTGTGGTCACTGCCCTGGGGAGCCTGTTCCAGTATTCAACTACTCTCTAAGTGAAAAAGTTTTGCCTGATATTCAACCTAAACGTCCTCTAACTCAGCTTCATGTCATTCCTTCGGGTCACAAGAGTGAGGACATCGGTACCTGCCCCTCGTGAGGATGGTGAAGACCACAATGACGTTTCCCCTCAGTCTCCTGCAGGCTGAACAGACCAAGTGACCTCCTCATACAGCCACTCCTCATATAGCTTCCCCCACAAACTCTTCCCCACCCTTATGGCCCTCCTTTAGATACTCTCCAATAGCTTAATGTCTCTTTTTATATTGTGGCATCCAAAACTGCATACAGTACTTGAGTTCATTGCAGATCATAGCACAACTAGTTTGCCCAAAAGGCTGTTCCCACAGAACATAAAGGCTGCCATGATAATGACAGGGATTTTGAAAATGCCCTTCTCTTTTGTAAAAGCTGTGTACAGGGGTGCCTGAAAGTAGTACAGACCCCAAGTTCACTACAGCCTGCAAAGCATGGGGCCTGCAGTTCCCCATCTACCTGGATTCCTCCCAACTCAACACTGAGCTGAAACATAATCACTGCTGCTCAACTCGTCACACTGACCTCCGCTGATAAAGTAATGTCAGGGCTAAGCTGTGCCCTTTCCTCTCACAGTCAATCCTGCACTCAGCTCACCCGAACAAGCCAGGATTAGCTCTTGAATCCACAGCATCTGTAACGTCCTTCCTAGGGGGCATTTAAGTCCTTCTCTGAATGCTGTTTGGATTTCATCCATTGGCCCCATTTCCTGTATTCATGGGTCAGGTTCTGCCACTCTTATAACTCAACAGAACTGCAGCTCCCTTTTAGCTGTGATGAACTGAGAGGGGCTTTCCTGCAGACCCTAATTTTATTTAAGTTGGAGAAGACAGGTGGCATCTCATCTGAGGTACACAGTGCTTTCTTCAGTTTAACAACTGCATCAAACTTATGCTACTCTCCTTCCAAGTGCTCTAACTGAAGCATTTTTCACAGTTCCTGCACACTACTGTAGTTACCATCGCCTGTCTTCTAGCCCCAAAAAAGCACCAAAAGATAACATTCTGCTCCTACCCCAGGCCAAGAAAGGTAACTGTAGTTTAATGTTTATAAAAGGCTTTGTATTGTCAAAGCACGGCACCAACAAGAGCGAGGCCTCAGTACACCCCTGTGAGGTAGGTATCCTGCTCCCCATGCTCAGAGATGGGGAAACTGAGGCACAGAGTGATTAATTCAAAGGCCATGCAGCAGATCAGAGACCCAGCTGAGATCAGCGCACAGGAGGTTCTGGCTGTTTGGCCCATGCTCCACCCACGACAGCACTGCCAGACAAAACAAGCATGCTGAAAGCATGACAGTCCCACAGGAGTTCCACCAACTTCACAATGGCTTATTCACACTACCAGCAAGCACCCATGGGGCAGAACAAAGGGGTGGTGGATGTAGGGTGGTCAGGATGTTGTCAACGAAGCTTTCTTCAGCAAGGTGTTGATAGCCAGGCTGCAGACATGTCTCCCTCACCAGTGGTGTTCCTGAGACAGGTAAGTGCTGGGGTTAGTAGCAGAATTTCTTCCTGCAGTCAAGACATCAGAGGATCTCCCCACAAGCAGCAAATCTCTGATTTTTCAATCCTACCAGGCCCTCTGTTGAACAGAACTTAAGTCAAAGCAGTGCTGCTCCCCCAGCACTTCACAGTTTAAGCTAGTAATTGGTGAACACTGCTAAAACATTAAGACTTGTACAACACAGCTGGTTTCCAGCACTCTCCAAACCTTCTGACAGCCAGGGGAGGCACTCACTGAGCAAAGCATTTCAGCCAGCCCAAGTCCACAAACCCTGAATGCCACCCTTGTTCCTCTCTTTTCCCAGGCAGGACAAGTGGTAAATCAAATCTTACCAAGCCTGATTGTGGTTTGTTCATCTTCTTGAGGATGTGCCAGTCTACCAAGGTGACTAAGAAAAGTGGCATCTGACACCTCCTCTAGAGAGGCAAGGAATTTGGTTAGGTGACACTTAGCTGAGTAAGCCACTGACAAGCCTACTCAGCTGTGTTCCCAATCATGTACATCATGCTCAGGCAAGAATAGCCAAATTTGCTGCATCCATCAGCCTTCTGCTCCCCCAAATCCTTACCTAATCCCCCCATTGGCTCAAATGGCCCACCTTTAAAAGCTGCTTTTAACGCTTCTCATATTCAGAGTGTCAAAGCAAGTGCCTGCTTGCTGCGTGGGGAAACCAACTCGTATGTAGACTGCATCAAAACCCATAATTTCTCATCTTAAAAACCAGTTCAGTCTCACCAGCAGAGCTGTCTCAGACAGACCAGGCCTGTGGAGTCTCTCACAGCTAGCAATTCGATGCAAACTGACAATGTTTGTTCAGCCACTGAACATACACTTACCAAGTAAACACTGACATTTAACAACTTGATTTGGAACAGAGCATCATTTTGTTGCATTAAGGTGCATCTTTAATTGGAGGTAACAATCTAGTAGCCCAATGTTATAAATGTATGTAATAGTGTCCTACAGAAATACTGGATTTGTCAACCCAACTTCAGTCATAAATCCACCTTTCCTGTAGCATCTTCTCTGCTCTATTTCATTGCTCCTCATTTAGTATCTTCATATGTTTGTTTGTGAGGAAGTCAAGAAAGGGAATATTACAGATGGCTTTGTGAATATTCATCACTGTGATCTCTCTTGGAGTCCTGCAGAGAATGCATCAGAGATTGTATTATAATACACAMAATACCCACATGTCCATAAAGCAGCAAGTCAATAAATTTACCAGTGGAAGGAAGGAGGAAGAAAGAAGATTAACAATCAAAACAAAAAAAAAGGATATAAGAGCAGGTGTTAGAGCAATGCAGGGAAAGCATTAAAATATCACAGCACAAAAAAAACCATTTAAATGACTGGGGGAAACCTCTTGGGCACTGGGACAGAAAAATCAAGTACTAAAGTATTAATTCTTAGAACTTGTATAGCACAGTTGTTGTGTATGTATTTCTACATATAACAGATACACATACTTCACATATTATGTAAACATTTATATGTGGCGTACAAGTGAATATTTAAACTGAGCATTTTCTCATAGTGGCTGTTTTTTTAAATCAATTTAAGCTATCCCAAATCATGCTGCTGAACAGAAATCAAAATGTCACCTAATCATTAGATACTAAAAGAAATGCTTTACTGTTCAGGATGGTGAGGCACTGCACAGGTTGCCCAATGAAGCTGTGGCTGCCCCATCCCTGAAAGTGTTTAAGGCCAGGTTGGAYGGGGCTTGGAGCAACCTGGTCTAGTGGAAGGCATCCCTTGCAGGGACTGCATCCTAGCAGGGAGTGGAATAAGGTTATTTTTAAGGTTCCTTCCAATGCAAATAATTTTATGACTCTATAAAAATCACTCAGCATCTGAGGCAAAAAAGCATCTATCAGTAAAATAGATTATTTAGGTTAAGTTCTGCAGGCCATGGCTAAATTGTCTATACAGTAACCTGAGATGGACAAGAGTGAGCAGGTCCTTCCCAGTGTGGCTCTGCAAAAACAGATCATGTACCTCTGAGGCATGGCAACACCAGAGAATCCTCGGTTTCTAATGTTTATGTTCCCATCCTTTCCCACCAGGAAGCCCCTCCTAAGGCTTCTGTCTTCCCAGAGTATAGATCCTAAATCGCCTCACTCTCATGGTCTGAGCCACACAAAGCCTGACTACATTCCTGAAGCCATTGAAGCCCTTAGTGCCGGTGCAAGTGGCACAGAGGAGCCCCGCTGCTGTACCTGTTGTGAGGAGCTGTCTGGTATGCCACAGCGAGCGCTTGCCGTAGGATATCACTCATCAGCTGTTCAGTGGCCTGAGAAAGGAGACAGCATTAGGAGTCAGCATGACCAAAAGAGCAAAGGAACTTGCTATTTGCTCATAGAGCAGTGTAAAGGCAGGGGAAATTTTGGCTTGCTTCAATCCTCAATTGATCAGCACAGCACAGTTCAAAAAGCCTGAGTGAGTTTTATTACTTATGACTTGAGTTGATTTAACAGAAAGAAACCCAAAGATGAACAGGGCTCAGGCTGCAAGTGACCAGCCTGGTTTGCCTCCAGACATGCAGCATAGTATGTGCCCAGCAGGGTGGATCCAGTGTTCCAGAGCCTGTGCTTCAAAGAGCATTTCAGGACCCTTCAGGACCCTCTCACACACCAAAGCTGGTTTTGTACATGACCGACTGCAGATTTCTCCTGCGAGCCAGTACGTGCACCCCAACCACTCCCTGGGGTCACCAGGCTTGTGTGAGGACACCCTCACAGAAACCTCCCAGCCTGGCCAGCCTATGCCCAACTCTTGGCTTAACCAAGATGCAGTCAAAAGCTAATTGTGGCTCTTGGCTTTCTTTGCTGTATCAAGGCCAGAGAAGAGGTCTCTGGAATGTTCAGTGAGGAAAGCTGGCATAACGCTACAATTATAACGGAGCAACCTGATGGCTACAATCTGTGTCTACAAATGGATGTGTCTTGTCAGAGTTCAGCTGTGCTAAGTAACAGGGAGCACAGCACAGGCATGCACACAAGTGCATGTGCCACCTGGAATCAATTTAGCTTGTGTAAAACTCATCTTCTGATAAACTGCAGTCTGTATAAACAACCCCAAAAATCATCTTTGGCATGAAATACAACAGAGTGCTGCTAGAAATGATCTGTTAGCCTTCAGTCCAAACCCAAGAACTTCAGATCCTCACTGCTCAAATTTTGATACAAAACCTCTGTTTTTCCAAAAGTGATTATGATAGAGAAATAGTTTCTCACACAAGGCAGAGTTGTTACTGTCAGCAGGAATTCAGCAGTCTCCCAGCAGAGACAACCTGGGCAAAGCAACTGAGCAGTACTTAGGAAAATAAAGCTAACCTTATATAAAATAATCAAGTCTTACACAATCTGAAAGATTCCCCCCCAATTATGAAGGGAAGGACAAAGCAAGGGGTACTTTCAAAATTATGGAATGAGTCAGTATCTTAGTGGTGGTGAGAATTTGCAAATCACTACACTGTGTCCAAGCCAACAAATCAGTTAGAAAGCAGAAAACCCACACAAAAGTGTATGACTCTGTGGACAGCTATATATCTATTCAAACACAAAGACAGACTTTGATTTCATAAATGCATATTTAAAAAGATACTCCATCTTTTTAATTGCTGAGTTAATACAATTACAAATAAACSCTTCCTATGAAGTAATTTCTTACCTTTAAAATCATATCTTCTATTACTGATGCATAAACATTCTTTTGTACCTCAGCAGGTTGAAAAGAAATCCCTATCTATAAAACACAAGAGAGAAAAAAAATAGTACCTCAAATAACACAACTCACATTGCACTACGATTAGATAAGGTTAACAGAAAAAAAACCCTATTACAAAGTGTACTCAAAAGACATGCAAGATGATATTACAGAATTTTCAATATAATCTCAGGCTTAATTAAAAAAGATCTGAGTAAAATCTGAGTAAAACTAGCACAGCCTGTAGAAATGTATTTGAAAGCCAGAGGAAACTAAAGAAGGCTTTAATTTTTGTTTCAGAAAGTCCAACAAAAACCAGGCTGCGTTGGGTATCTTTGGGTTGAGAATGGAAGCTCCATTTTAAAACCATACATATCTCCAATCCATCTACTCATCATCTTTCCTGCATCCAACTACGGCCACTGAAACCACTTTAAACAGTAGTGCTGGCACAGAAGTTCCACATCAAAAGACTGTTTCATCCCTCAGTTCCACTCTCACTGTGCCTGTGCCTKTGTCACCTAAGTAGCAAGAGACCAGATCCACCGCAGAACCAAAATTTTGTCCCTTGGTGTCAGTAGGTGAGGTAGGGACAGAAATCCTCTCTTTTTCCAACAAATGCTCCATGCAAATCCCTCCTGCTGCTCCCATCTCCTCTGGTACAATGGCAGGCCAGTCTCCTCTCTCTCTCCTGCTGCTCCTCCTTCTCTAAACGGAATAGGAGGAAGAAATCCAAGCAGCAGAGAAGTTTGCTAAGCTTCACCACAACCCCTTTTCAGGAATTGCTATTACACAGCATTGGTCCAAGCAACAAATCCACATCTTTCACATGACGGGACAATGAAGAACTCAGTGCTAGTGCTCCACGTCTCTCATTTATCCTTGCTTTTAGCCTTTCAGGATGATTTTTCTGTACTAAGCCCTGCAAAACAGCTACTCTGAAATGAGTTCCCAGCTGGCACTCTTCCCTTTCCCCTGCCAGAACTGGCAGCTGAGTGTCATGAGTCAGAAGGTCCAACTTTTCCAGGGCATTTATAAAAAAATCATTAAAAAATCCCGAGGCCTGTATAGATGAAAGAAACACAACTAAATAAATGCAAGACGACAACTAGCTTCACAACAGTTCTAATTAGCTTTATGATTCACTTATTACCTTCTCAGCAGTGTCCCTCACAAACTCTGATGCAGGCAAGGAAGCCATGTAGAACTTCATCTCTTCTTGTTTCTCCTCCTGTTCTTTCTTAATGTTTATTTTTAATGGCTCGCTAAAGTTGAGAATATCTACTTCCTCTTCATGTTCTGGTTCTTGTTTCAGAAATTGCTGTAGTTCCTCTAGTTTTCGGCACAGCTCCTCACCACTGCTGTAAGATGAAGGGCATTCTGAAATAGAAGCAATCAATTAAACACATGATAGGTTATGGAAAGCTGTTTATAAACAGATGCACACTCAAAATATGGTAAGAAATTAAGGTAATTGCAAGTTATTTTTGTAGTGCCTACCAAATATAAGGATGAACAGAAATGCAAACAGTCATTGAGAGCCTTCCAATTATATCTTCATGACACTCACGGTTCTCTCCCACATCTGCTCCTACACCAATCAAGAAGGCTGCATTTCATACAAAACCAGGCTAATGTCAGTCTCCCAAATATTCTCACAGAAGCTTTTTAAGCATTTTGGCAACTGGCAAGCCARTCTGATGCTCTTCAACTTGCTTGGAGAATTGGAGCTTTTACTATGTAAGGCACCATGTAATGTTAAATCATCTTTTACATTGTGACAAGATTGATCATGCTTCTTAAGAAAATATCAGAAGACGGGTTCACAGTGGAATGGCAGAAGGGTAACCTCTTCTCTGCATGATCAACAAAAACCAGTAAAACCTTCAGTGCAAAGCTATGCAGTAAACAGATTCCACTCTTCAAAGACAAACACAGATCTAGTRATTTAGATAAAAATATGAGGTGGTTGTAGGCTTCCTTTCCACCTTCAAGAACTGCAATGCAGGGTCAGACTTCACAACACATAGTCAATTCCATACACTTCTGTGAAATACCTTAAATCCCTGTATGATCAAGAACAGAAAAACATTCAGCTTTGGGAAAGGGATTATCTGAAGGTAAAACAAGAGAGCTTAACTGTGAAGAATGGATGAAATGAAAGATGTGATTTTAATGCATACTGAAATGAACTGTGGGGATCCTAGAGCTATGCTAGTGGAATAATGTAGCAGCTGTAATACAAAGAGCAAAGCTTCACATGAGCCAATTCACCTCATTTTTGGAGGTAAATGAACCCCCACTGAGCTCCACACTGCCACTGCCAGGTTCSTTTTCTTTTGTTTTGTACCTGAACTCATTCATACTGTTTGCATGCTAAGTCTTAACAGAGGCTAAGCCTAYCCAAGGGCAGAAATGTCATTTCTCCCTATGCTTGCTTTGTGTATCCACTTATGAATGATTATATTGTGGAGCAAGAATTATCTTACATGAAATTTATCTACACTGAGCCTCCAAGGGCCCAAAATACAATAAAAACCAAGAGAAGCCCCAGAAAAAACATCAGGACTGATAGGGACAAGGGACAGCCCCACTTGTAGGCCTGCCCTCACAATCTCCAACTTTYGTTATTCCAGAGTGAATTAAGTTAAAACAAAGAAAGTTAAGAATCCCGTTCTCCAGATGTGTGTGCATACAGCCTCAAGGCATTTCATAAACTGTGTCTTCGGCAGAAAGGAGCCYCCTGTCCCTCCCTACTCACCTGGCTCATTGTCTATCTGTGTCAGCACGTCCTCAATGGAGTCCTCATCATTCCGCAAGGTCTCGGGGTCAGGGGGAGTGTAGCCATGGCACCGACACCAGTGCACCACGTGCTTTGTTTTCAGGGGGGTGATATTGTGAAACCTGGGATGTTTCTCTACGATTTCTTGCAGGATCTTTCTCACTGTCATTGCTCGTTGCCACTGTGACCAACCAAAAAGAAAGCTCATGACACCGGCTACAAAGAACATTTATGGTTAGCTTACAGCCCAGACCTATAATCCAGGTTACACGAGAAACAGAAAAGGAACATGATTTTCTCAGAAGCCAGAATGACTCCTGACATGTCATTCTGACTTTGCTTTATCATTCAAAAAAAATCTCAAGAAAAGGGACACACATTTACAGACGCCTAAACACATTTGTCTCGACTTGAAATGTCTCATTTCCCAAGTAACACCAAAGATGGCACAGTGCAASAAAACCACTGGAGTAAAATATGCWTTTTAAAAYTTGATTAARCTCTTTGATCATTTAAGCTGGCAAYAGCAGAGGGTCTAATTCAGTGTTAACATCTCCCCCATAAAACTCCATGGCAAGATGGCAATGTTATGAAGAAATAGAAGGAAACTGCAATACAAAAGGTCCAGGTTAACTGAAATATTTATCTTTGGTGAACTGACAATCTAATTCAGGACTACCATTACTTATGTCAGATCCCTCAATTCTCATCCTATAGAAAGCAGACACAATCCCATAAAAAGACAGATAAAGTATGCTAGGTAAAATTCCCTTGACTGTGATATGCCACAGAGGAGTGATGAAGATAAAGTACTACCGGTTTGAAAAAATGTTGAGCTTTAAAATGCTTCAAAAAACATCTTACTATAAATAAACTGAAAAATGACCTTCAGCATCCTTTCTGCTTGAGAAAGCCTGTGAACAATAAACTGGATCACTGTCTGAACACAAGTCAGTGCTTCTTGCAGTAAGGAATGCCATTTAATATAACAGAAAACAAATCAGACAACAAGGAAGGTTCCATAATTCAGGAATCCTTGTGTTCCTAGTGACTGCTTATGAAACATAGGAGGAGAGAATTACCTCGGCTGCCCTCCTCTTCCCAATGTTCCAGCTGTAATACTGTTCCACTGAACTGGCACAAAAAGAGCTTACATCCTCACCTAAAAAAACCACAAAATCAAAAAACTATTAAATTTTCAGTAAGTGAAGTGAGATGAATTCTGGGTTTGATGATAYTCAGCAAAGAGGAAGAGGGAAATGCATTTCATGCTTACAGGATCAATGACTGTAACCAACTAATCAATAAACTAACTCTTACAAATGCTGTGCTCTCTCCAAGAGAGRCTGACACTGGTTTTTAGATGCAAAACCAGCCTCCCTCATGGCCATGTACAGAAACCTGTAGCTATGGGCTGGTTTAAACCTCTTTTTCTCCCCAAAACTCTCTATGTAGACCTGTAACTCTGCCTTACTAGTCAAACTCTCTTCCTTTGGAAAACTGGATTTTTTTCCAAACAATTTCAACATAAAAATGAAACAACAGTGGAAAGGTTTCCTGGCAGAAGCAGAGAGTTGTATGCGATGAAAACTTTACAGCACCTTTCACTCCTACTTTGCTGCCTCTGCTTGAGAGGGTTGACCCACCCAGTCTCCACTCATTCAAAGTGCATTAGTTACCAGAGAAAGGTGATACATTTTCAGCATTGTACATGAGTAAAAGGAATGAAATAATAAAGTGCCACAAAATTAAACTGTATCTCTGCAAACGATCCCATTTTGTTTAAAAACGAATGCAAAAGCCCCATAACAAACACATTTCAGTGTTAAGCTATGACACACTGTATTTGCCAGCTCTCTGAAACTCTACTGTTAAATTGAAAAAAAGGAAAGAAAAAAGCACATCCATTAAGGACAAACCAGAAAAAAGAAGACCTACTTGCAGCCATTTTGTGAAGAAACACAACCTATTTCTAACAAAAAAAAAAAAAACCAGCTGAAATATTTTAACTGCTAACAACATATTTGACTTTACTGGAAGAATCTAATTMTAAGCATCTTTAGAATAACCCCTGGAGAAAGCTCTCTAGGAGAATGGCTTAATTTCATTCCACCTTTTAATAACTTCTGCAGCTACAGAGTATGCAAGGCATTCTGTTGATACACTGACAATACAGAGCAAAGCCTTTTCATTTACTGCTTACTTTTTTCAGCAATTAATGGAACCTTCTTCACTACTGCTGTTAAAAGCTGCTGGATGTTCTCCAAATATTCTATGCTGCAAGGGATAAAAAGAATCACAATGAAGACTGCTGTTGGAAGCAAAGAATCAGATGCAAATAGTTTCAAAATCACTGCAGGGCATTACAAGGCATTCCAAATAGTAATGTGAGGATAAACTGTTATACCCAAATCCAGAGAAAGTAATTCAAACAGCCCTTCTTCTTGCCAAAGTGTCCACATCTGAAGCTGCATTGTCAGGCTCAAGGAACTGAAGACAGGCTTGGAGAAAATCCCTGCATTATCAGGCAAGCTGCAACATGACTTTGAGGGGTAACTAGTGCAGGCTGTCCCAGTAGGAAATGTGGGATACTGTAAGAGAAACTTTGTATTTATGGGACTCTAATTAACCAGCCATAGTCTATTTAACTGTCAGGAAGTGTATTTTCCAACAGTTATCTTAAAACTAAGATAATTTTCAGTGTGTAGTGACTGAAGATTCATTCCTGTCTCTTACACAGACTCTCCATCAGGGTAGTGTCTACAGGGATACGCTGAGATAACAAAACTTTTCAAAACACAGAGACAGGAAAGGTGAGGCAATCAAGAGCAAAAGAGACATCCTACACACTGCAAGAAATATGCAAAGAAAACTCTGCAGTCTGAGTTCTGGTGAAAGAACACTGACAAGTATTTGCAAAAGCATCAGAAACAAGGCACYGGATTTCACAGCATCCAGTGATCAAATACTCATTATGATTTAATTCTAATTCTGAAGCAAAGCAGCCCACATAGTAAGTAATCATAGAAGTATATGAGCTTAACAGGACTTTAGAGGCCAGAAAGTGGACACTTCTACTTATTTTAGATGCCCCTTTTCAGACCAGTATTTCACTGGGCAGTGTGACCTAACAACACACAATGGACTTACATAAGCAGAGGATGATAGAGATTCTAGCAGCTTGTGATTTTAACAAAGCCCAAAACAACTGCAAATCTTCAAATAATTTTTCACCTTTCATGAGCCCTGCATACAAATCCATTCACAAAGAAATATTGCAACRGTGTCTGAAACAAATTCTACCCAACAGAATTAGTACAGATACAGGAGTGTACAGAAGATTTTATAATGTATTTTTAAGTCAAAGTAATACTACTGCATGAATTCCTAGAACCATCTCCATTCCCCCAGTATTTCAAAGACAAGAAATCCTTATAGAGAAATGAACAATTACTTGATAACATAATTCCCAAGTTCAGAGCTGTCTTCTGTTTTAACTGCTGCTTGGCCTTCTGGGRTACCCACAGAACTGCAGTTTTGTCCTGTTGAATCAGGCTCCATCTTAACTTCAAAGAAACAGAACACATTTTAAGACAAAGAGTACAGCCAGCTTGATAAAAGTACCAGACAGTCTTGTGAGACTCCAGTAAGACTAAAGATCTTACATAACATCCCTTCATTTATTGYTTGCATTCTCATTGCTAAGCATGAACAAATTTGACCTTCAATTATGCTGAAAGAGAGCTACCAGGACATGCTCCCCCCACAAATCTCCACATATTCACATCTCACTGTTGTCAGAAAACCCACATAATCAATTGCTGCTGTTTTGCATATGGCTGACTGATCTAAACTGAACTGCCTGGCCAATTTGCAAGCAAAGYTGGATAGGAAGCTACCAAGTTTTAACAAGATGTGACATCTCAAAGTGACAACTTTTCTGAAGACATCACTGATTCTGACACCTGAACTTTCTCATGTCTAGGACAGAACTTTGGTGAGACAGAAGCAGCGAGAGATGTGCTGAACCCAAATAACCAGACAGTCTGGTCACACAGCTGGGATGGAGAGAGATGTGACAGTTCTGCAAGAGCTGGACTGCAGGTGTGTCAGCTGTGCCCCATGCTTCATTCTGGGAAGCACTGTATGTACCTCCTTCCCCTCTGTGTGCACAGGGACACATGCTGTCTACATCTAATGCTGCTGGAAGCTAACCTCCAGTACATCTGTCTGAGAACAGCACTATCTGTGGTTGAATACTTGCTGCTCTAAGCAGCAATTCTGCAAATATGGATCAAAACAATGAGCGTTTAAAGCACTCCTTGGAGCTTTCTAGAACATCTTCACTTTTTTTCCAAAGTAATCTACACTCTGGGATTGTTGAGGGGGAAGTCACTGTTAAATTCCTAGTCCTCAGGTGTCATTTAAYTTGATTTAATAATACTAATAATGGAAATAAAGGAACCCAGAGTCATGGAGCCTACTTTCATAGGCCACTTGCATAAAACTGTATCAGCTTATTTTTACTACTTATCTTACTGAGAAATCCCTTGTTACCTTTGGCAATGGATGCCGTGGAGGGACTTGGGACAACTGTACTTGCTGCTGTGACTGCTGAAACTGCTGAAACTTTGCTGGCAGAAAGTGACTGTAGCACTGGAGATGAAAAGAAAAAAAATGGGGGGCAAAGAAGAAAAAGAACATCAAATTTCATATACTTCAACARATAAACATTTTCAGAAGCAACACTCTTTTTGCAGCACAAAGTTTAGGGATGAATTCCTTGCTACAATTTCTTCTATCTCTACTTTGGACCATGTATGSCAACAGTGACCAAGTGCTACCCTGTGTCAAAGGAGATTTTCAAACATCATCTGTCATCCTCCTCTGCCCTTTACCTTTGTTCATAGGCATGAGTATTGTCTGAACACCTCCAGAAGCTGTGTTTACACCGAGCTGTTTAAGCTGGCTGGGAACTGTCAGAACAGCCTGCTGTGGACTAGACTGATTTGAGTGGATTTTTAGCAACCCTGCAAGAAGAACGGAAGACAAAATGTTAAATAAAACACACCAGTTAGTTTATCTCCAGCTACTTTTCTCTCTTTCTCCTTGAAGCAGGATGGCATGTAACCTAGCACTGCCATCCTCTTAACAAGCCACAGTTGGGTGAACTGTCAGGACGWGTTGTCACTGACACGAGTGATGGCTCAAACACTGCAGCGCTGCACCGCAGTGTGCACACTGTTACATGCTGCACAGCACTCGCCGAGTTGTAAAGCAAATCTCCTAATCACCTAAGGAATCTTAAGCAAAAGTTGATGTAACAAACCTTTCAACTGAAGCAGGCTCAGCAGAGTAAAACACTCTTGTCAGAAGCAGACCTTGTGCTCAAGGCTGTGRTAAGCCAGTGAACTACAGCTCTGTTGTACTCACACAGCTGCTCTCAGGGAGGTATCCCAGGGCCACTCACACCTCTGCAGTTCAGCTTAGCAGCATTCACTGCAGTCAGGAAAGCACAATCAACCCTRCTCCAACTATGGGACAAGCCATACCTGAACTGAATGCTCTGGCTTTTTGCAATATGCACAGAACACATCCATAAGGATGGCTAATCAAATTATGAAGAATATTAAACTGGAGACTGAACTAAATCCCTGGTTTTAGTCAAGGCCAGAAGAACAAGCAGAACATTCAGATATGAACAGCATTATCCATGGCAGCACTCACTAACTTCGAGAAAAATCAGCACAACTCCAAGCTGTGCCATAGTCCCATGGGTGGGGAATACTCATCAGCAATCTGCCATCTCTCTCCTCTCCTGGTGATGACAGCCCAAGCCACCCCAGCCAGCACTCCAACAGTGTGATTTGGGTCTATGTCCATTCTTTCTAGCAGTAAACTGGCTATCTTTCATGTAACTGTATTCAACCTGTAGCTAACTTTTCTTCAGATTGTGGAAATTTAGCAGGCTTCTATTTTAAAACATTGACAACAATAAACTTAGTTTCACCACRGCAATTCTGTACTCATGATTAGTTTTGACATTAAGTTTCCATTTTCTTTATATTATTATTAACAGTAGTAGTAGCAGTAGTGCTGAAACACAGCTGCATTCCAAGTACTCGACATGCAAGGTCTGGTGAAGATGTCTTGGTTTTTAAGGATGCCAGCACTGGTCAGTTAGGTTTTCACCTCCAGGCAAGAAGGCTCACCTAGTGCTCCCCATTCCTTTGTGTGGGACATACTTAGGATGCACTAGGATGTGTCAGAACAGCAAGGGATCCAACAGCAAGGCTGGTAACAAGGGATCTTTTCAAAAAACTCTATCAGCCTGGTAGGTGGGAGACACTGCTTGATATGAAACAAGGGAAAATTTGAAATCCTTCTCAAAAGATTGTCTTTAAAAACACAAATGTTTGGATTTTTAACAGTTTTGTTTGTTATTATATTGAAATAACATGCTTTATAGCCACTGCTTCTTTTGAGATTCTCRAAGAAAAGAGTTTCCCATGATGAAGTCAGTGCCTCAGGTTAAAAAACAACCCCAAAACAAAATCAGCATTCTCTCACCTAAATGGGAGTTCTAATSTGAAAGCTATTCAGTATGGCTTATTTCCTAAAAAAAAAAACCCACCTGGCTGCTTTCTTTGCAAAGAGAAAAATACTGAACTGCTTCCTGCAGGATTCTGTCAGTTTTAGAAGTYGATGTTGTTTATTTGCAAGCTCTGGGTAAAATATACCCATGAGAAAGGAGAAGTTTAAAAGTCTGAGTAGAGAGGAAACAAGAAGACCTGTTTCAAAAAGACACTGTCAGATGAGCTTAGTGTCACTTATGTTCTCTTTTCTGTATTTTTCCTCTGCCTTCAYTTCATAAGAAGCCACTTCAAGTGAACAGAACATGACAGCAGGTAAATAAATCTAAACAAAACTTTCCAATTTTAACCCATAACTCAAACCTGCTGTATTTGCTCTCCCTGATACAAAAGATGCTGCAATACAATAAAAGTAAATAAGGAGAACTCCCCTMCACATAAGGGCAGTTACTCTTTATTATTTTTTATATTAACTTGAAACATCCAGATCCAGCCTCCTTCACTGTACTTAATGGATTTTGACTTCAAAGGCTTCATTTCCCTCTAATCAACACCTCTCTCCGTTTCAATCCAAACGGAGCAGATGCAAAGCCTCAGAGACAAATTCTGATCATGCAACTTCTCTGKGTATAATGGAGTTTCACAAACTAATCAAGTCTGTAGTACTGCTGGAATCTTGATRATTTCCCCACTCAGTGTGGAAACTGTGCTGATAGGCAGAATGCATCTTCCAGTGACACCCTGATATGAAAACTAAAACCCCTCTCCAAAACCAAAAGGTGACTTGTGCTGTTATTTGTAACAGATACAGTCAAAAGGCCAAAAGGATGCCAAATTAATTAGAAATTTCCTTGACTAAGGCAAAAGTTATGCTAACAAGTTGTTTTAGAAAGCATGACTTTTACAAACTCACAAATGCAAGTGACTCTATATTCTTCCATTTACAATGAAGACATCCAAAGAACTCACACCTGGATTCTAACTTTCTCTGGGAAAGGYGTGAAGGGAGTTTAATACCTGATACTGTAGCTTTTCCCGTCACAGGCGTTGCTGTAGTCATCAAGGAAGCAACACTTACAACTGTGGAAGTCGCAGTTTTATTCACCACTGATGAAGTAGATTGGCTCTGGCTTACASAGATTTGGTGCTGTTGTCCAGATGTCTTTGCTGCAGGAGTTCCAGAAGATGATGAACTGGAACCTGCATTATCTGCTTGCTGCATAAGAARCAGAGAGGGATAATAAAATCCTTTTGATCTCACAGGTGATTCAACAATAAACACAATGAGGTGATATCTTAAAGTAACAAAACCAAGTATTTATCTTTCAGTCATTAGGAAGCAAGAGGTTCTCAAGCTCATATCCAAAAGCCCACAGGCAATGATGGCATGTGTAGAACAGAGGCTGTGGCAACATGGCATCAGCTCTCCACAGGCATTTAGGAGGCACAGATTAGGGGCTAACAGAAACAGGCTCAGAGTCAATGACACACTTCATTTTGCTGCCTCCTCCTCTCTCAATGAATTGCAGCTCCACTACAGGTAGATAACCTGTATTAGTTGGATACATGGCTGCATCCACTGACAAGAGCATTCACTTTAGGAATGCAAAAGTTTTGCATCCTGCCTCCCTCTATGCCAAACCAYCTCCTTCCAAGGCTGCACTCTTACAGCTCCCCTGGCAGGATGACAGTGACATCCTCTGAACASAGCCAGGACCCAGGAGGAGCTCCCAGCCTCCAACACCTGCTGACAGCAGGCTGGACACTGAGCACTGTGCAGGGCCTGTGACTTCAGGAGTACCTCCAGTCTGCTCACTGCTGGTGGGTGCAAGGGAGAGCAGATCCACCAGCAAGCTGACTCGGGGGAAAAGCAGTACAGGTGGGTAAAGCAGTACAGGTCCTTTCCTGGGATTGTCATGGCAAGAGTGCAAATACTGCCTTACAGAATACTGGCAGTGCTGTTTCTCACCTGAGCCACCCCATTTGTGGGGAGGGCCATGGCAGGAGCAGCAGCCGTGGTGATGACACCTCCTGACACTCGCAGCACGGTGGTGCCAGGTTTGGAGAGCTGGGATGAGGCAGGCACTGATTTTATAGACCCGTCTGATATTTTCACCAGTGATGTCTGTCCACCAGATGCAGCCTTTGAGAAAGAATGTAGCATAAGGAAAACAATTTATTTGTTTGGGTTTAAAATGATTTTTAAAAACCAAATCAAAACAGAACAACAACAAGAAAACAAACAAGACAAATGCTTTTTATATTACTAGAAAATATTTTCAAAATCCTTTTGAAAAATCAAATTCTGGTAATAATTGCTGGAGGAAAATTATCAACTCAGGAATCAAACTTCATCTAAGTGTTGACTTTGCAAATATATGTCTATCAATCTTGAATTTTGGATAACCGATTACAAGTATTCTTGGGGCATTTGAGTTTCATAGGGACTACTTGGTAGTTTTTAAAAGAAGGGCCTTTGAGGGGTACCAAATCCAAAGATTTTAAAGAGCTTTAGCAGGTGACCCATTTCTAAGGCTCAAATATTTAAGCACATCTTTGCACCTGACTCTATTCACTTTTCCAATTCCGTTTCACTAAGAAATCCTAGAGTCCATTTACAATGCAGCAMCCCAAGCTCACACAGATTGCAAGCTGAGCCCCTTTGAGTAGAGAAATAAAACTGCCTATCTGTAGTCTGATGAAAGTAAGCCTTTGTGTGCTTTCCTCTTCATGATACAGCCAGCACCACAATTGTACAAAAACCCACATCAAACCAAATAACTGTAAAAGGAAAAGCTCTCAATAATGTGTWGCCGTGGTTTCTATACTTTATCTGACAAAACTAGTAAGAGAGAAACACATCACTTGCCCATCACCTGTGTAAACAGAGCTGTTTTCTGTCCAGTTATCACTTTTAGGGCTTGTCCTTGTGTGGAAGATGCTCCAACTCCTACACTGCCCTGAACAACTGATGCTGGAGTCAGCTGCTTCCCAGAGCTCTGAGGTGAAGGCTGGCCAACCAGAAAGGTGCCCTGCTCCAGAAACAAATCAGGGAGGTCAGCACATTGAAACACAGTTATGAGTCAACAGAAATGTAGCAGGGTCAATAACAGATAAAAGCTTGTGKCTGTACAAACATTTCCACAACATTTCATCTTCTGAAACAAGGCACTGCTCATTAGACTGGATGCTCTTGCACTAATGTGGATACAGCCTTCTTGCTACAGAACACTTTCTGATGGAAGCAGAGCAGGAAAAAAGGCAAGGAAGACCCAGACACCAGAGTCTGAGAACGTTTCACATCCTACAGAACCACATCCACCTAACACTACTACAGCCTGAAATGTCAATGTGCTTCAACTGAGATGCTTGTGCCACTGACCTGGGGTGTCTGCTTCAGGATGTAGGATGTATAGGTGAGGTGCTGCGACAAGTTACTGCTTGTGCTTTGTGTTCCTCCTCCTCCTCCTCCTCCTCCTCCACTATTCGTAGAAGAACCAGACTGAAGACCTGTAAACAGAGGAAAAGGTTTGACCCTTTGGTAATCAGACAGTGTCAGCTGCTAAAGCATCCCTGGATATAATTGAAAAGACTTCGCAAGACATTTGGTGCCACGTGTTTTGCAGCCAAATAACATTATTATTCAGTGAAGAAGAGTTCAGCTGTGCTGCTGTGCTCTCTTACAGCTCAACAAATGCCATGAATAAGAGGAATTATTGGGGAAATAAGGAGGACTGGTGGGCAAGCAAAGCTCAATTCAGGCTGTTTTGAATTTTCTATCAAATGAAAATGCTGTTCMACAGAAAATTACTCTTTTGCACATTATGGATCTGCAGCAAAAGCTCTAGAAACACTCTGAATCCCTCTGGCTTCTGAATTTTACTTTCATTGGCTGTCAATGCAATTTTGTAAACAGAATAATAGATCATGGATACCAAGCAACGGTAAGTTGCAGGGACATTTTGATATTGTTCTGTCTCCAGAAAGAACAGCCTGAACAGCAATTTTTGCAGTCTCTCACTAAGAAACAAGGGTAAAAAAAATACTCATGGCTCTGTCATAAACATCACAAGTATTTGCTCTTCCTTGCTGCCAAAGTTGTAGCTGCCTCTCTAAATYTCCAGCAATGGGGCTCCCATGACAAGTTCTACATCCCAAAAATACCTTCAGCAAGAGGATCTACTTTTTCAGTGATATGGCTTTCTAAGTGACAAATAGCTTTCTATTGCTGTTGCTGGTATTTACAGCCTTATATTACACTTAGTAGTACCTCAGGCAGGCCAAATCAGAATTGGGAACAACAATTTTACACCCAATCCAGCTTCATCCCAGTCTCAAGAACAGCTCCTGGTGTTCAGGGAAAGACTCATGACAAATCCTTTTATCTACACAGTCCAAAGCCTGCAGTACTCCTTTCCTACAGCAGCAGCACACTGCAAACAAAGCCTCAACCACTGGACTAGCTCAACAGGCTGGGTTGTTCTCCAGGTATTTTACTGAGAGTTCCATTTCCAGGTATTTCACTGGGAGTTCCATTCCCAGGTATTTCACTGGGAGTTCCATTCACAGGCTTATTAACAAAAAATGTTTCTGCCTTGAGAGCACTGCATGAAAAGCAGTTTCATTGAAAACAAAAGCCACCTGTGAGACCTCAGCCTTAAAAAGCACCACATATGGGTCGTTGTAAAAAAAAAAACCCTATCGCATTACTGATTTCCACAGCACCAGGATGCTCTATAGCAAAAATGTCAGACATATTAATTATGCAGTGATTACATTATTTAACTCATTAGATTTCCCTGCAAGACTAACTAGCATTATTTGTGGCTCGCAGTATGGCTCCTTGGGGTATCAGCAGCAGTTTTCCTTTCCCAGAGGGGTTCTTGCTGTTGGTGGTGAGGTACAGCTTGGTGCCTGGTGGTAAATTTGCCAAGTTTGCCAGGTTGGTGGCTGGTAACTGCAGTGTAGCCATCACTAGAAAGAGAAAAAAAAAGAAATAAACAGCTGCTTGCAGAAAGTAGTATGCACTGAAATCTGCACAGGATGAAGTACTCAGTGACATGCAACTAGCCCTCAGTAATCCCTACTTAGCTGATCTAACCGCAGATTAACTCCACCAGTGATGCACAGACACTTTTTTTAATAGGTCTGGAAAAAATCTCTCTGCGTGCAGTTCCACTCCTGGCTGCAGGCCAAAGCAGCACAGCCATGGGGTCTGCAGGCTTGCCCCAGCCCAGGCACCACACAACAGCTTTACAAGAGCCCAGAGCACAGCTGGTGTGTTCAGCTAAAGCATCTGTGTGCAGATGCAGACAGGGTGCTTCTGCCCATACTCCTGTGCCGGTATGCACTGGGGAAGATGTGGGGATGAAACTGGGACACTTCGGCTCTGGTTGGCTGGACTTATGGGGAAAGGACCACAGTGCCAGGCAAAAATGTGAGACCTGGCTCCATGAAAGCCTGCTAGGTCTCCTGCACATTCCACAATATCTATCCAATCTCCACTTCCAGAACACTGCATGTTTTAAAGCACTTGTGTTCCCTCCTCCCTCTTACATAGAATGAATTAACATTTTCTTTATCATTAATSTCAGTCAGCCTGAATTTTTCTACAGAGCTCTCTACTGATTTGCAAGTTTTTCAACCACACACAGTTGAATAAATCATTATAGACCCTCAAAGTCTACCCATCATGAGCTATAAACAAGGTGTAAAATTACTCTACCTGAGCCTTGAGATGTACTTTTCTGAGCCCCTGTGGAAGAAACTTGTGCCTTCGTTATAGTCTGCACGGGCTGAGCAACAATTGTCCCTCCACCTCCACTCACGATGGCTTTGGCTACACCTTGAGTCACAACCTGCTTTGAACCCACAGCCTTTGCTACCGAGGAGCTGGACTTGGCCACGAGTATCTGGCCACCACTTATTGCCACTGCTTGTTTCACTGTCGACTGCAACGCAGAACCAACTGGGACRCCAACAACCTGCAACAAACAAGGAAGGGATGGTGACTGCTGGCCAGAGCCATCGTGGGAATCCTAGCTGGTACACAAGCTCCATCTCCAGACAGCACCRGATGTGCCTGGTCACGTAGAGAAGCTCTTCATTCAGGAACAAAATTAAATCGGCAAGAGGCCAAACCCAAGTAAAACRATAAACTGTTAAACACAATCAGGATCTCAGCGTACCCACAAAAGATTAAGTTCATTCAAATCACAAGGCAATTCCTTTTCTTTCTGATTTATAAGCAATGGCTTAATTCCAGCTGAAGATAAAGCTTGCCTTGGTGAATTAAAGAGATGCAGAAATTCARTTTCAACACATTCATGGGAACAGATTCCCTGGGAAAACTACAGCCTCAAAGCAGAATCCACAAAGTGCTTCAATTTTATGTGTTAATGATAACTGCAGTGAAACATGACTTCTTGCATACTTGCTCAAACAGGCAAGAAATGCAGCAAAAAGAACAAGGAAATGTTGCAAATGCAAAGAAGTAATTACTTATGCAAATGTGAAAGTTCTGTATGTAATCTCTAATGCTTGGCATGCCACTTGGTTCTGTCCACAATGGAAAGTGGCAAGAATGAGACAACTTCTGACACATCTGTCATCTTGTCACTGCACTGTGCCTTCTCAGAAGCTGTGTCACTCCTGTCAAAGCAGGACTGCATTGGCATGACTCCTGCAGTAAAATGCTTGAGTTGCCACTCAAGTAGGACTGCTTTCACCTAATGCTAGTTCTGGCTCAGCCTCCATCCCACTCCCTATTTATCCTGTTCTCTTGTGTTGCAGACTTGCATTCCTAGGAAAGCATCCCCYTCCCCTTATGGAAAGCCCTGAATGAGTTTCAGCCCTGGACGGTGGCAGCCAGCCTTCTGGGTTGACAGCTCAAAAGCACCTCCACCCCATTGTTGCAATGGCTTGGACAGAAGTGGGACATGTTCCTGTATACAACAAAATGCAACAGTGCCTGCTCAGCCTGCTTTCTTCCCAAGGCCTACATGGAAGCACGACATGAGCCACTCTGCATCCAGGAAACCAGGAATCCACGGGAGCGAGGCAGAAACAACCCTGCTCCCCTGGCAGAAGCACCAGGRGTTGCAGTAACACCACAAGGCAGCTCCCAGCACACCAGAGACCCCAGGTACCCCGTACCTTGGACTGCACCGTCCCCTCGCCGGTGCTCACGATGGGTTTCTGTGGTGACAGGGCCAGCATGTGGCTGCCCTTGACGGTGACGTACTGCTGCACCGAGGGCTGTGCCGCTGTGCCCGCCGCCGGCACCGCCGCCTGCTGCGGCAGCTCCCCAGGCTCCTGCTTGATGATCACCTTGGCAATAGGGAGAAGAGCAGTAAGGAAAGCAAACACCTTCAACCACAAAGACAGCTCGTGGAGCAGCCTGTGTGCAGGGAAGGGCAGGCACAGTCTGAACTCGGATGTGGTGCTCAGCATGATGGGAACTCTCTAACTCAGGGCTGCTCCCAACACACAGCAGATGGAGTGGTGTCTGTAGTTACAAAGCAGTCCACATTTGAGAGGTGYTCATAGAAATTACAGTCACAGCAGTTGCTGGTGGTGTTACAAGTACCAGTCACACCGACAAGGGACCTGGCCAGCCCTGGCTTCTTCAGACCCTGCATCTCGGCACGGAGCCACAACACTAAAGTTCCAAATTCACAAGCAACTTCCAGTTCAGAACTTGGTTTTTATTTCTATCCTGCAACATTACAACCAACAGCWATAGACACAGTATATCATTATAGCTGATATATATACATTCTCTTCTGTGTATGCTTTCTACTTCCCTGGGACAGCCCTACACCTAATGCCTGAGGGCAGCAACACAAAAAAGGCTGTTTTGGGGACTATTTTTTAATATTAGATTGTTGTAGGTACTGTAACTGGTAGGAAGCATTCTTCCACCTTTTAYTTGGATCACCTAACATTGCCAGAAACAACTTTAAATTCCATGTGCAATATTTAAGGAAATATAGTCAGAAGCAGCAACATCTGAGCTTCAGAAATCACTGTTATCAGTTTTTAAGAAGCTCCTGATAGATCTATTGCAGTTTACTTCTACTGYATCCCATTAAAAATAGCTTTTAAARTATCAGCCTGAACACAACAGTGATTCAAAAAGAAAAAAACAGAAAGGATGGGAGAAGTGATAAAAAGAAAGATCACAGGTACAGCAGAGCTACAGGGAAAGAAAAGAAAACAAGACACATTTTTGAGAGATACTACAGAGMCCTTAGCAGCAAGATACACTGGTTCCAGTAGGAGTTTTACAGGCACTTGAGTTGCATGGTTTGTGGCACAAATCAGCATGAAATGACACTACTGGGCTGCCTGTCCCAGCACAAAAGCCAGGAGGAATACCTTTGTAAAAGCTCCAAGTCCTCCAGTGACCGATTTGGGGCTTTGCACCTTGGAATGACTCCCAATGGGACAAAGGGGTGGCATGGTGGCAAAAAGAGAATCCTCCTGCTGCAAATAAGAAGACGTGGTGCAAAAATCAGTGGAATGTCCAATAAAGGAAATAACACAAGTAACTGCTAATAAAGGGCAGCATGGACCATTTGGGCAGGCCAAATTACCTGTGCAAGTAACACTTTTCCAAAATCAGTCAACACTTGGGTAAAAGGAGTCTAACTTAAAATAACTCATAAAGCAAATTTAATTTGGAAAGTTAGATCTCCAATAGCAGCAACTGTTTCTTATCATCTCATACACAGGCAAAAATACCTATTTGTGTTTTCTGATCAATTTTTTATACAAAAGCATTTTACTTAAAATTCAAAGAGGCTGAGGGGGCACCTCATCAATGCATACAAATACCTGCTGGGAAGGTGTAATGAAAGTCYAGCCAGACAACACTCAATAGTATCTAATGAAAGGACAGAATCAATGGGCACACATTGAAATACAGGAAATTATAAGGAAAGCCTTGTTACTGATGATGATCAGAATAACAGGTTGCTCAGAAAGGCTGTGGACTCTTCAGCCTTGAAGATACTCAAAACACAACTGGACACATTCCCAAGGAACCTACTCTACATGATCCTGCTTTGAGTTGGAGTGGTTGATCTCCAGAGGTCTCTACCAACCTCAGTCATTTTGTGATTCTATACACAATCTCAGAGAGAGAAGACAGTGTAAGAAGAAACAAGTTATGGAGGGGAAAATTCTTCTCTCAGAGGAATTACTGCTCTTCACTAGCTGGAACGATGCAGTAGCTCACAGTCCTTCCAGACAAAACTCACCATTTGGAAGAAACAAAGTTATGTAACTAAATTGAGTAAAAAAACATTTCCACACCCGCAGAATCATGCACCTGGCACTTCTGGATCTGAGGCCAGCAGAGAAGTCAAGTCAAGTGCCTTTGAGGGAGCTTGTTACAGTATAATTGCTCTTTTTTACAATCAAAGTGAACCCCAAAGCCATGGTTTCACAATCACTTGGCCCATTCTTGGGTTGGACCATGACCAGAAATTAGGCCCTCCAACCCCTGGCATCTTCTCTRTACTGAAACACATGGCTGGAAACAATGGTTTTCAAGCAGGTTAGTTGTCTGCTCTRGTTCACCACATTGCTGCACAAATGGTAGCAAATGGGAGGTGTGAAGACAAGGCCTGAGGCATAACCTGTCCTCTCAACAGCAGCTGCATTTGAGAGTGGCTGGAGAAACGCAGCCTGAAATCATTTAAACAAATACAGAAAACCAGCACACATTGAAGAGATGGRAAGTGTTATGCACAAGCTCTAATATCCCACTGAACTGTCAGATACACTCTTCAAAGAAATCATGAAATTACAGCTTTTCCACCAAGCAGAAGACATAAATCAAATTACATTTCTGTTTACAAAAGTACGATTTTTTTTTTAAATATCTTCCATTTTTAACTTTGCCCTGGAAAAACAGAATTCAGCTGCTTCTAAGGATGTGTGCCTACTTTGACTCATTGAAAACTTTTCAGAAAGAACTGTCCCAAATCAGTGAAAAATAAAGAATAATGCATGATTTTCAACACAGTTAAGTGAAATCCATCTGAGCAGGCAGGCTTTTAAAAGCTAATTAGCTAGCTGCACACCTGACACTTAAAATGCTACTTCAAACTTAACTGCTTTAGACACCAATCCGCAACACGTTTTTCCCTAACAGACATAGGAAGCATCTCAGGTCCAAATGTGAAGTGATTTGCTCTCTGCAGGCTGACTGGCAAGCCTTCCCCCAYCATATCCTGCGTTAATACTGTGGCTTGGAGACAGGGAAACGCTCCTGCTTGCAGCAGCACACCCACCAGCTGCTTTCAGAGCCTTGCTGACGCCACTTCCCTGCCAGAAATATCATTCCTAGCACAAGATGTGGGAGAGATTTTATGGGAGACAGTTCAGCTCTGTACCTTTTGGGCTTTGCAGATCAGAAGCACGAACTGTATTTATTGCTGTTTGTTTATGCATCCAAATGTTACTCCACTGTTTACACAAACATTTTTCTAAATGCAGGCAGTTGTAAAACCMCTACATGAGTTATTTTCAGGCTGCTGAGAACAGCTGCTGTACAAAAATAACGAACAGAAGCTTCCTTTGAAGGCTTTGAGGTAGGCACCTCTGGTTTAATCACACTGTGACTAACAAAGTGATAAAGATCAAAGTCAGCTACAGAAGAGCTTTTTTGAAAGCTACAACATTTTTGGGAGTTCTGCCCTCCATGAATTTCCTTGCGGAAAAGTAAAAGAGCAGTGCCTTGAACAGATATGTAGGCAAGCCTAATCAGGGCTGCATGAAGTGACACTATCATCTTGTATAACCACCATGTTCTCATATGGCTCCATCTGTTAGACACAGAAAACCTTCACATGAAATGCCAATCTAAGGAACTTGCCTGAAGTGCAGAATTTTTAACACTAAAAAGCCCCATTTAATAGGAAGCTGGACTTTAAATGGAAAGTACACACCTAATGAGAACATTACCTTGACAGCTGAGGTGACAAAACTGCTCCCATGGGTCTTTGACACAGGAGATCCAGTCCCGTGAGAGGCCTGACAGACACTGCTCAGTTTGCTGGTCGGGCTCCCTGCACAGCAGGAAATAAAGCAGATGSTGGGTGAGGGCTGGGAGCAGGGCCACTGCATACATGAAACCTCTTCTAACAAGGAACAAGGCATTTCATTTCAACTGCATTCTCCATGAGGTGCATCAGCAGGAACTGCCATGGGCACAAAATAAATCCACCACCGAATTTCCACCTGCAGAAACCACTCCCCAGAGAAGGTACTCTCCACCCAGAGCTCTGTGTGCTGCAAGCAAATGGTCAGGCACCTTCCTGGGTGGCTGAGAATACAGCTGTGTGTGCCAATATGTGAAATTGAGACAGAACTTGCTGTTGCAGATGCAAAGTCCTCCGCTGCCTGGAAGCCCTCTGAACCCACACATGGRCACTGCATGGAGGAAAGCTTGGAGAGGGAAGGGAAAGGAAGGCCAGAAAAGGAAAGAGACAGTGAGGAAGGTAAAGGAATAAACAGAAACAATGAATGAAGGCATAGGGTCCTCTGTGGCAGATGCTCCTGCACAGATAACAGACTGACACATGTGCCACAGCACTCTCCTGACCCCCAAGATGGATGGGAGYTCAGTGGAAAACTTACCCTGCATTATCAGTTTGTGCACACAAGACTGCTCCTCAGCAGTCTTGTTACTGCTGCTCTTGGGCTGGTTTGTCAGTTTTGTTTGTTCAAGAGACTCCAAAGCCATGGATTACACACATGAAAGCAAAAAACCAGTCTCTCATATAGTTGTATTACAATCCACACATAAGTTTGGACTGAGCAGCCATTTCTGAGAATAAGGGCTTTGGGAAGGCTGGTTTTCAGAGAGCAGGAAGATCTAACTCAATACAAGCCTTACCAAAAGTGCCCCAGTGATTTTGTCTATAACACACATTATGCTCAATCCAGCCTGGCTGCTATTGCAAAAAGTGAGTTCCACAGACCCTCTTGYTCGCTTGCACAGGGTCTGGTGATAAGGCTCTCTCACAAAGTTGTTTGGGAAGGGAAGGGTATCTATTTTCTTATCTGACTTGTGCAGAATATATGGGAGGCACAGGAGTGCACGGACAGAGAGGCAGCAGGCAGTCCCTGCCAGGGACACTCTGTACTTAGATATTGATTGTGGTGGGAAACTGCAGCTTTAACAATAACTGCACTAACACTTGTATGTCCATATGGTCTGGTGCATCTACACATCCCATCCTCTATGTACAAACCTCTACTAGAAGGACCCAAAAGTTACCCAAACTATGTTAAACCACTTAGGCAGAGTAGACAGTCAGGCTGGAGGTAAAGAAGAAACAGAAAACAAGAGGTAGAAACTACCCAACCAAAAAAAAAAAAAACCCAATCATTCAAACTCTCCCGGAGGAACAGCTTCACTCATACCCAAAACATACTTAAAAAAGTTCAGATACAGCTACACAATTCCTASCAATTCCCTCTGTGATGAAGCTAAAATGAACATGACAGCTGTGTTCCCTCAGATAAAGGGAGGAACTATTAGTTAAAAGCATTTTTGTGCTTTCCAACCACACCCAGCAGTTTGTGTTCCATGGATGCTGCACTCCCTCACTTGGCCGTGGGCATCCTGCTGAAATGCTGGGAAGCACACAGACGCACAAACAAGTTTTAAAACACACAGCAGTTCCTGGCCATATATCACAACAAATAAAYGAGTTCTGAGGGACCTTTCCTCCAGCCCCAACACATAGATTACTGACTGACTCCTCCACCCATCACCTGTGTCCTCCAATTCAGCCCTCCCCATGGCCCCAACCTTTCATCACCACTGAGGGAATCCAGTTAGAGGAATCCAAACCAGCTGGAATTGAAGCAGGTAGAAGCTGAGAGCAATAACAAAATCCAGCATAGTGGTTCTCCTGGTAACCAGGRTCTATGGATTTCAACACATCTGCTGTGCCCCACACTGGGACCTAAGACTGAGCTGCAGCCTCTCAGTCACTGCAACCTCTCCAGGCTCTTTGTCACATCCATGCCACCACCTGTGCACCCTTTCTGTCTAAATATGTGCAACACCATCTAAATCACTTTCCCCCCTTCCCTTTTCACCTGAAAAGAACAGGCTCTTTGAAGACATGTCTGTGAACTCTATTTGGCTTTACACTGTGCTATTTTTTAAAGGAAGTTAAGCTCAAGTCTGAGATACCCTCACACCAGCTGTGCAAACCAACACCTTCCTCTTTCTCTGCTGAATACATTCCATCTTCACCAGCTGAAATGCTCCTGTTATTTACATCATTCTAAAGGGAGAACAAATGGGTAAGACTAAGCCACTGCCTTCTGTGATCACWCTACACACCTGTGCTTGTGGCTGCTGCTCCAACCGTCTGTCCAGGCTTGTCCACAATGATATATGGATTATTAATGACTGAGCTAGCAGAGCCTTGCTTCATGTGCACCGGAGTGGACGTTGGGGTACGAGGTAGTGGAGATGGACTAGGGGTCGATATTGGAGAACCTTAAGAAAAAAAGTCCAATGCTTCTAGCTTTTAAATGTTGTCAGAACACAAAAACATGGCAATAGCAGTACTTTTGAAAATGGCTTAGAGAAGGAACATTTTTTGAGGATGCATTTCCCAGCCTGTGTGAAGTCACAGGACTTGGAGAAGGAAAGAGGAGACAGAAGGAAAGGAAAAGACACAAAGCACTACAGCTCATAGCTACCCTGGACATGCTCTGCCTACCAGGACAAGCAGGGCTCAAAAGGAACTTGAGAAGCCATCTGGTCTATCCCTGAATCCTGAGGAATTTACCTACACCTTTCTCACTGCCAAGACCAGTGCACCCAGGGAGATGAACAAAGAGAGTTGAGCTCTCTTTCCCTTGTACAGCCCAGGGTACAGGCATTCAGAGTGGGACCCCAGGAGATCCCCTAAAAATTCTGTGTGGAACAGCCTCGGGAAGCACAAACGCCCGGGTCCCTTCACTGCTCTCACTACAGCAGAAACCCTTGAAATCAATCTGTCAAATATGCAACTTCTGGGTAACATGGCCAGGAGACAGAGAAACTAGAGAAGAAAAAAGCTCCATGTAGAGGTAAACAAGAAGTTCAGAGAAAAGGACAGGCAAGAAAGTGATCACAGAAGAGACAGCAGCAAGCACCTAGCTTCACCTGCCTGCTAATCTACTTTCTTGGCAGTTACTGACAATTGAATCAGAACATAAATGTTCATCAAATAAAATCCCCACATCTTATAAACTGCTTTGAAATCTGAAAGGGGAACCTTTCTCAGCAGACAGCAGAAACTTGGAAAACTATTTAGCAGGGAAACATTTAAACAGCAAAGATCAACAAAGAACAGTCCAAAGACTTTAGGGAAGATAGGATGGGCCCTATAGTTCCTACTTTCTAGGAAGCTTGAGGGAAAGAAGATCAAGAGAAGAGCTTATAAAGGATGAATAAAGCTTGACACAGGTTCAGGTGTAAATCAACCAAAGTACAGTTTCAAGATGTCAAGGAACAATATTGAAATTTAATTTTAAAAAGCTCCAAAACAACAAAATCTAAACAAAACAACAAACTAGACACACTTTAAGAAAATTATCTAGGAGCAGATCACCAGAAATCACACATACTGATAGCTGGTGCTTCATCCTCTCTACCCTGAACACCAGAAAATTAAGAGCTGCCACAGGTCATCTTGCAGCTTCACAGCAAGTGCCATGGTGAGCTGTAAATTAACACTTTCTGATGTAAAACATCACCCACTAGCTGGCATCACACCCAGGCAGGGAAGGGACCACAAGTCYCAAATGAGCAAAGCAGCACCTTGGCCGTGTTTGGTTCAGAAGCTGTCACATTGCTCACTGCAGCCAGCTGGCAATTTARTCCAACACAAGGTGGACTTTTGGAAGACAAAGTCCAAAGCTGCTCCGTTTGATRCAATATGGCAAGCACAAGAGGATCTATTTGAGTCTACAAGGTTAAAACAAATCATTTGCCCAGTAATCAAGAAAAAAAATACTTCTTAATCCATCCCAGCTATCTGAAAGCAGGAGGGAGAAGAATGGCCTMTTCCCACACAAAAATATTCCACATGGAAGATTTGTCCTTGCCTGGGCCTTTCTGTGGGCAGCAGTCCATTTCAAGACTATCTATTTCATACTTAAAAGCATTCAAGAACAGGGAGAGAACACCTGTCACCCTACTTCTGACCTGTTGTGAAAGAATTTCACACTTGTATTTTTTCCCTTGAACATTAAGAAGTGTGCTTAGCTCCTTCTTCTAGAGTTTCCTACTGTCTGATGTTCAAAGATTGGCAGAAAATCAAGGGAAAGACAAGTCCAACTGGTTCACTCTTGTTTTCCAGGGGGAGGCACTTGGGTAAGTAAACTAACATTCACCTGATACAATCTTGCAACTCATGGTGATAGGCTGGAAGGATTTTCCTGGTGACTCTGCAGGGCTTGGACTCTGACCTTGAGGCACTATTTTACAGCTAGCTGCAATGGGTTGAAAGGCTGAATTTCCATGAGAGCCAAAGGCAACTTTCTGTGTGGCTAACTTGGTGGGAGTCCGCTCTATCGAGGATGGCAGGGAATAAAACGCGGCATGTCTTTCGGTTTCAGCATTCCCAGAGAATCCTGATTAAAACAGGGAAAAGAACAGAAATAGTTCTTAGGCTGACATGTCTAATTCCTTACTGTGCTTCTCTACATAAACATCACTCAGGTATGACAAACACACTCTTGAAGGAAGGACGGAAAGAAGGAAGGAAAAGCAATTGGTGGGAAGAGTTGAGCGGGGAGAAAGTGAGGTAGGGGATTGTTCCTACACAGGCCTATTGGATCTGTTGGACAAGAAGAAAAAAATGAAGCAATTCACAGCCTATTCAGCTGTGGCCAGTGATCAGCCACTTGTTACACATTTTCTTGGAATGCCCCCTTCCWCTGACCAAAAGCTACTGATAGTTCCAAGTATCCTTGGTTAGGGCTTCACAAGATTAAGGTTGAATGAATCTCCTTCGCAGAGAATCTCGCAGTGCATTTTTTGGAGTAAGAGCTAAAGGAGACCAATGACTGCCTTTTGAGCCAGGCTTTATTTGGGTAGAAGGAGATCAGTTAACCTGGAGCTGCTGAGAGAAGCCACTGCCTATCAGTGTAAGAAGGAGGTAGGTTTACTTCCTTCCTGTTGGCTGTAGCAYTGCTCACATAAAGATGCTACAAATATTCCTGCTGGAATAAAAAACCTGTGTATTTAAAATCTGTCCTTTTCAGCTCACAAGAAAAGACCACACTTAAACAGCAGACATTCTTTTTGCTGAGCCTGAACACCACAAGTGGCACCACAGTGCCTACCAGGAAGCACAACCATGCATGGCACCACAGCTTACAGCCACTCCTTGAACACAGGAGCGTTGGTATAAATCAAGAAAAGCAGCAGACCATGCTGCATCTGACACTATATTGAAATATAACATTGCTGTGTCCGGAAGGTTTCTCACACTAAAGAATGTAAACTGTAACACACACACTTGTATCTCAGCCCAGTTAACCAAGGTCTGTTGTGGAAGCCTTGACACTGTGTGTTCCAGAAAACAAAGCTGAATGCTCCCAGAGGCACAGCTCTTCCCACATCACACAAACTACAAATCCTAGCAGWGCACCCATGGGGCCATCACTGCCTRCTYCRGRCAATCCAAGTGACCCAAAGGCCTCAGCTGCTGCCCCAMTGCAATGGGCCCTGCCTCTCCTGATCTTACAGGGGAAGGGGAGAATGAGACCCTGACGATGGCAGAGATGGCATCATCCCTCAGACACACACATGACTTGTTCAGTCTCTATTCTCAACAGTGCAGTAACTACAGTTACAAAGGGATTTTTGTTCCCTCACAGTCAGCTCATGTTAGGCATTAACACATATAACTGAACACACCACTAGACCAATTCCTTAGATGTACACAGTCCTCAAAACATTCCAAACCTAAAAACCTCTCTGAAAATAGTCTGCCAAAGCCAAAACAAGTTTTTTTCAACCACCTTTCATGCAAATGCATCTTCTGTTGCCCTTTATCCACATTTTAGCAAAACAGAACCTGCTCAACAAACTTCAGATAAAAAAACCCAAACAAAATCAMACCAAACTCCAAAACAAAACAATCTACAAAAATTTCTGAATTACATTTCAGAGCACATTAGGGAAAATATGATCTGGGGTGAGAAACAAGCAGGTAGCACTGGCAACCTTTAAGGCATAACAGCAAGAGGAAGTATCCAGGAGAGCCAAAGCAGCAAGAACTTGAATTTCACTGACACCCATTGCTTTACCTTTGTCCACAGAAGCATCTGGGCTGGAGTCCYGCAACTGTTTAATTGGTGAAGAAGCTTTGACTGGTGCTGGGATACTCAGTGGCAATGATAAAGATGTAGGAACATCAGAAAGATCAGAGTCTGAAGACTGGGAGAAGAGATACTCCTCACCAAGAGAATGCCTGTGCAGCTCCACATCCACTACCTTCCAAAAACAGGACAAAGGACATTAGTATTTGGTAGCTAGGTAAAGATATAAAACCCAAAACTATTTATGCCTTTTTATTTTAATGCCTAAGAATCTCTCCCTTTGTTTCCCCCAACTCCACATAACATTTCCATTCATTTCAGGGACAGTTCCCAAAGGTCCTGCAGYATCTAAGACAAAAATCTAGCAACACTGAACTTGCACAGTAAAACAGCACATGTCTCAGTCTACGGGGAAATCTGAACTGTAAACACTGGAAGGATTATGGAGCTCAGCTCCAAGCAACCCACTAAAGCAAGGACTGCATACCCCTGTAGGGACAGGCACAAAACTGAAGCCTGCCTTTTCTGATAAGGCCTTGAGAAACACACCACATGATCTACTCTTCAAAAGTGTTCTTTAACCACAGTAGACATTTCACATTAACGTTTTCTCCACAAAGTGAAAAGCTGAAGTAATGCGATTTCACCACAAAGATTTCCATTCACTACAGTACAAGGGGAAAACAAATACAAGAAAACTTTAGGAATATAGCAAAATCTGGGTTATTAATTAATTTACTTATTTTATATGAGTTCATTTTCTATTGAAGTCCTGAATCTTGACAGATACAGAAACTTAGAAGTACTTAATATCCCATAAAATCTCAGCAGGATAGTTGGGTGATCCCTTTAACTTAAATTCRTTATGTGTAAGCTCTGCAGCACATCAGAACGCAAATCAGAACATTTTGTACCAAAAGCTTCACAAAGCAGTAAAATTTAAAGCTGCAGTACAAGCCAAGTTCTCTGTGAAGGAAGAGCTGGAAACAGTCTCCCCTGAACCAAGAAGGAGAAAATATTACTTTTGTCATGAATAGTGACAAGGTGTCATAATCCTTTCATTCAACAAGAGAACAAAATCTACATTGTAGAAATTGTGAAATCAAATGGGTCTGACTTTGCTTGGTCCCATGCATCTTTTTTTTTTAAACATCCTTAAGGGAACCAAAGTACATCATCCATCCCACGACCCTTGGACTCACCGTTTCTGCGCCAAGAGTCTGCAGGCCTGTGTAGGTCCTGTCCAGCTGGATAAGACAATACATTAGCCAGGGCAAAGCAATACAATAGCTAGAATTTACAACACCAGTTGTTTGAAAGAAGTTTCAAACTATGTAAGTTGAGCAACAACACATCCAATTTTTTGAGGCTATAAGGTCAGAAATCTGTGGGCTCTGAYAAGTGCCCTCTCTCCTGCAAAAAATCCAGCCATCACCCAAGGCCCAAATGAAAGTGCAAAGGAGTAAAAAAGCTATATGAAATGAGATTGTTGAAGGAATATTTCCATCTCAGAGGAGTCCTCAAGCAGTGTCCTTTTTTTATTCCTGATGTCAATATAAGGAAATAATAATGAGAAAAACTCTTGAGTTTTCAACTGACCAGCACAAAGGCTATGTTTACACTACAGTTTTTGATTAAGTAATGGTTCACAGTGAGCCATCAGCTGGTAAAGAGGAATAACATCCCAGAGCTCAGGGGCACATGGGGTGCCAGCCACAGAAGAGGGCTCAACTCACTCACACACCCTCACAGCAGCCACAGGCCCACTAAGAGAACAGMAAAGATTTGCTGATTTGAGCTCCTGCGTGTCATGGACTGGCTCAGTTTTCTTCCAGAGGCTGAGCACTGTCCTTCACAGTGTTAATAATTTCTCCCCAAATATATTTTACTCACCATCTCCATTAAATGTCCCCAAGTTGCAGGGGAATATTTTCAASCTCCTCTACTGTCTATATTTAGGGTTGCAATGAGGTATCTTGTTTAGCATGAAATTCATTAATTCAGGCAGAGTTCTAATAAAACTAATGCTGCTCAAAGAAACAGGAGACTAAACCAGCTCAGGACTTAAGTCCACTAATGCCAGGGACTACTAATTAAAAGGAAAACGAGCAATGGCCTAGTTTTCCAGGACTGCTGCATACTGTAAATCCTGTGTGTTGCAGGGTGAATGAGCTGGAAAATAGAGCTCTCTTCAAAGGGAACATGGACTGAATAGGGAATCTCAGCTTCCCTGCCCACTCTAACAACAAAGATAACCATTAGCTGATACATGCCTGTGCTGAAGGAACAGAACAGACATGGCAGCCACTTTACCAGCAGARAGACAGCCCTGAAGCACCCTGTTAGGTTAAAGCCAATGAAAACATGATAAAAATCTCAAATTGTAGGGAAAAAACAGTAAACACTGCTGCTCTGAACACACTCAGCTCCAGCTGCTGCAAGGCTGGGTTCCCTGCTACTCCATCAATTCCATATAGCCAAAGTAAGAGGCTTTCCTGGATCTATTTCAATTCTCCAGCTCAACTATTCATGTGAAAATAATCAGTAGRACACTCATAACAGAGAGGCAAAGCACGTACACAAGCAGCGCCTCTTCTACGTTATGCAAAAGAGTTCATTTAAATGACTTTAGAGAAAGTATTTTGTTCAAATACCTTCAAATTGTGTATGATATCAATCCTTTTGTTCTGGCTATCCTTGAAGTGTATCTGCACTCTCACTGGAAATTCTCCCCAGCCTCTCCTGGTCAGGTGAAACGGAGGTTCTCTGGAAACAAATGRTGATTACATTTGGATGCAGAAGTGGTATAGCTTTCACCTCCCTCCCTTTCAGAAAGCCAAAGACTGTTTTTCTGGCTGACAACTAAAGCTATCTTCAGGTCTGCTATTCACCACAGAGACAGTGTAATCACAGCAATGAGAATYTTATGGCTTTGGACAGCTGAAAACATACTTTAACTTTACACAAGAGGACAGGGAAGAAAATGGTAAAACACTGATGGATGAGACACGTGGGAAACAAGTGTCATATTTTTAAAAAGAAGACAAAAAAAAGGCTGTGCTATGTCAAATGAAAAACACTTGTTTAAAATAAACCCAAGTTCAGCTCACTGCAAGGTGAGCTTCCAGTGCAGCGTTTTGCAATCACTTCCTRCTCTTCCCTATCTAGTAGCAAAAAGGCACTTGCTTCACGTAACAAGAGAACATACAAACAGGGAAAACTTAATCACTGTCATTCTCCAAAGTGAAAAAGAAGGGGTTTAATCTGCAACATATACTGTTACTTTGTATTTCAGCTTGTTATTGTAAATGCAAATATAATTTCTCYAACAGAAAAAAATCAAGAGGTTTAAAGGCAACTTTTAGTCAGGAATATTAATATTGACCATAATGAATAGGAYTGTGACACCAGAAATCAATTAACCAGATGGGATTAAAACAGAAGATAAACAGCACTGACATGAYGGAAACTGAGAAAGGCACAAAAAGCAATCAAATGTAATTTTATGTCACAGAAGAAATACAAAGGAGCTTGCTTTTGTCCTCCCCAGGGCTGTCTTCCCAAAAGCATTACTGAGCCATACCAACACTTCTCACAGGAAGTCTTCCTGGAGTTGCCTTTCAGTAGTTTAATGTTGCCAGAATTAAGTTGCCATTCTGTACCTAAACAGTCCTCCCCACACTGGTCCCTCCAGGAGGCAGCTGAATATCCAGTGGAGAGTAATTTCTTTGGGAAGACACCAACCATTTGGAAGGCATCCTCCCTCTGTCTTGTCCGAGGGAGGAGGATGAAAGACTGACAGGGCATTTCCCTGTGGCAGTCATGAGAGAACCCACCCCACACCAGGATAACTGGAAAACAGGTGTGGAATGCAGATTTGGGAGAGCAGAGAAGCTGCCCCATRGCAGCACCAGCACCATGACATTGATGGGAAATTCCTCAAAGCATGGACCCAACAGCACTGATCTCACTACCACGAAGAAATATTTTGGAGTGGAATATTCATGCCCAAACACACATGTAGCACTAAAAATATGGGCAAATCAGCTTTCTGAGACTCCTCTTTTCCACACTGGAATAGATAGTCCAGCCTGAGCAGCAGTGTATGTAACACATACAGGAGATGCACAACCCAATAGCATGAAATGCAACAACTGAACGTTTTGTCRCAGAAGGAAATTGAAGAAAAAAAAMCAACGAGCCAACAATGTTTGGCACACTTGCTACATAAAAAACCTCATTTATTTTTACTACTATTTTGAAGTAAGCCAAGTTAAGCCAGATGTTAAATACAGACATAGAATACTAAACCAGGAAAAGAAATTGTTAATTTTTTAAGAAACCTGGCACTGTAAACCTGGCAAGCAGAAAGACTAGAATAGTGACTGGAATAATTCCTTATTACCTCACTTCTACCAGGTCATTAGGTTTGTAGCTGGGATGGAGGAAGAACCAAACTTTCTTGACAAAATGATTTATGCTGGGTTCTCTCCGAGAGCCTCGGACGTACACCATCCATTTATGYGTTGACTGATCATTTTCTTCTCTCTTGTCAGGGGGAATGTACCTGGCAAAGAAATGAAATAACAAACACAAGATAAAAATCCCAAATAGACAAATACTGCAAAAAGCATTTCTGGAAAGATCAATCAAAAAAACTGGGGATGTCAAATGCCTGTGGGAACCTTGCCCCCTGTACAGTTCTGCTCATTTGTCCTYACTCTCACAGTTCATCTAGGAACAGAAAAACGTCCCATAATCTACTCTAAGTTTCTAACACACTTCCTCTATTTTAATGCACAACTACCGCATGAAATTCACCCTTTAAACATTTGATTCTTAATTAAGAATACTTAATTTTAACTTTCTACCATTACCAAATTCCTTATTCCATCCTATTCTATCAGGAAGCAAAACCACACCAGAACACATAACTGACAACTCTGCTGCCATAAATACAAACAAAATACAATACTTATACATTTTTAGCAACTTCAGTCACTACTTAGTTCTGAGTCCAGCCTTAGGTAGATTTTCAAGATGCAATTCTGACTCTAAGTTTTGTCAGCAAATGTCYGATATGTTTTGTGCAAAAGACTGACCTGAGTAGAGCAAGGATAGAGAGTTAAAACCTGGAATTGTCCAGTTTCCTAAACCTAATGCCTTTCATCACTAATKTCCTTGAAGATSAAAAGTTATATATATWTAYCTTTCTTTTTCTTCTTTTAAATATAAAGGAAAACTGTAYAAATTAATTTATTTGGACTRTTCTGAACTWGCACAATTTTTCTCATTGTGGTTGGTGTGCATTGTTCTCTTGGGGCTTCTTTTCTAGAAAAGAAACCCCCACACTGTACCTATGGACACACTAAATCAGCTGACTAATTCAATTAGCCAACATACTGAATTAGGACAACTCGCTTTTCCAAATTTTCAAGGGAAAACTTTTGACTTCTAACTGACCAAAAAAGGCTGAAAGACTTCCCTTGAGAGAAACAGATCCTAAAACTTCCATGCATATATAAATTTATAAATAAAATAACTACTAGAACACCTGCTCCTTCCACAAGAAAACTCATGCTGACACCAGAGGAGGGCTGCCTTGAGTACAGTGACTATTCAAGGGTAAAGCTCATCTTGTGACAGCCTAGCAATTTCATTTGTCTCCTAATTTTAACTTTCTATTCAATTTAATCCTGAAATAAAGGACCATCCCTCAGGCTCTGGATACTAACTTGGAGACGTTGCCAACCACAATCGTTTTCTTCACATAAAGTCGTGAAGTTTCATCATTTGACAGTCCGGCATTTCGTTGTCCTGGTTTTTGAGAGCTTGAAACACCCGAACTGTCCTGAGGGTAGGGGAAGAAAAAAAAGGCAAACAAAAACCCAAACATTCCTCTTAAACATCATTTTGTTTGGTGCTGGAAAAGTAAGGTGTTGTTAAAACAAAAAAAAAAAAACCTGCATAAATGAAAGACCAACAAGGAATCATCCCTAAAAATACTCAAATTGCTCTCTAGGCACATTTAAGCAACTCAGGCATTAACAATGCTCTCCTCCCTAGCCAAGAGAACACTGCATGGCTTAGCTGAGTGGACATGGTATGACATCCCATGGAGTTGAGCCACGACTTCAGCTTGGGTTTCAAAAGCACTGCCCCTGCACTAAAACCAGGCATGGCTAGAGTGGCATCAAGCTGGYCCCTAATCAGGAGCAAAGCTAAATTRGCCATGAATGAGGGCATTCMCAGCCTGTGCTGCTCTGGGRGTCTCTGGTGTTGCCTCATGGTGATCAAGGCTACATTTGAGACAGGAATTCTGCTCCAACTGAGCAGGGAGAGCAGCCATACCCGGTCACTGACATCCAGGTAAACCCAYAAATCCATGGCAATACTGAGGCACAATAAATCCAGCCACTGTAACAACTCCAGCTATTAAGCAGTGGCCAAGACTTCCAGTACAATGATCTGACCACCCACTATGCCAATGCATGGGGAGGTGTGGTTTGCATGGAAATGAGAGGCTCTTTCTACAACCCTGTTGGATGAAGTGTCTATCAGGACACTGGAGTGCCCTCCACTGAGCACTCACCAGGTGAGGGTCAGCATGGGGAGCACTGGATTCACTAAGGARCCATTCCCCCTCCTCTGTTAAGTCAGGGATGCCTCAAAGTAGAGCAACAAACCACAGAAGGCTGGGATGGCTCCTGCTCCTGATCACTCCCTGAGCCACCTCCGGGCCATGGGCTGCATTGGTCAAAGATGTACCCATGTGCTACACCCAGGCAATACAACTGCTCCACCAATGCCTCCAGCACAGAAACAAGTTCCATTGGTCTGGTAGTGCATGATACAGATGGCTCCACACTCTCTATCGCTCATCTGCCTTCTACTACAGACCCAAGGCAGAGTTCCTGCAGCCCTGTTATCAAGGGTGTCACACTGCTCAACAGAGAAGGAATCACTGCTCTTTCTGCCATGTATTAGTGCAACTTATTCAGCTGCACAATGCAGCCAATATCCACTGCGATATACACACCCCTGGCTGTAACTCCTCTGGTAGGCCTGACCACTTAAAGGAACTGAAAGAAAACTGAAGAGTTTCACCTCACCTACTAAGGCACATTTCACCTGCAAACACTGAGTGAACCTCCCCAGTGGAGCTACCTGCAGCCAACCAGTGAAGCATTTGTGTGCTGCACAATAAGCCACAAAGGTAATGGATCCAGGTCAAAAATAACCCCAAGACAAGTATGAGGGAACATTGACACAAGGTATTTTTAACCTGGGTCAATTGGTTCAGTTAAGCAAATGGTGATAATGAGACACAACAGCAAGCAGCACCATCAAGAGGAAAACAATTCAAACTGTGTGCCCAGGCTCTATCAGCTCATGCTGCCAGGGTGAGATAACCTGCCAGTGTTACTGTTTGCACTACAGGCTATCAAGGAGGCCAAACCACTCCAGTAGATCAACCATCCTAAGCAATGCAGTCCCCATGGGCACCCAGGGCCAGGCAGCAGCATTACTTCTTGAAAACACAGCTGGGAACAACACATATTGCTCTCCTCAGCAAGCTCCACTCTCCTGCCCTGACTTCCATCCCTACAGCAAAGCCCTTTGCTCAGGCTGTGAAGCCCCTCCTTCCCCAGAGGCTGTGACTGAGGGGGTGGCAGAGCTGTACTGACCCCACAGCTCTGCCCAGCCTGCTGACCTGACTTTGGGCAGGGCTGAGCTAAGAGGAGGTACCCACGTCACAGACACTTCAGTTGGCCTTACAGCAAAGCCAGGCTGAGGGAGTGGGAGCAAGTGGCTGGAGAGGGTAAGAAACACATCTTCAGCAAGGTAGGTGAAAAYATGAAGAGCTCCTGGTGCCAGCACTGAGTCCTCAGAGCACACACTTCCAACAACTTGATCACCACTCGAGTTTTACTTTACCCGGCCAGCATTTCTGCTCTGTCTCTGGTCCAGGCTGTGTGTCAGCCGCTCGTCTGCRTCCAAGTTGCCATTGTCTTTGTCCAGGAGGAAGTCATTGTGCTGAGAGAGCGAGTCGCTCTCGGAGTGGTTGGCAGAAGGAGTGTCTGAGCCCTGGTTAGCTGGAGACGATGATCTAGAGGGAGATTCCAAGAATTTCTTGATTGAAGGGTGATTAAGAATTGTTGCATCACATGACCTGGTCCCCTGCAATGAAGAGGTCAGGAAGATCTGGTCACTATTCCCCCACAGCCTGGATAAAAACAAAGCTGCGCCAGAAGTGAAAAAGTCAAGGCATGAAGAAAGGGCAAATATTTAATCAGCTGCCTTGCAGGAAAGACATATGCTGCATAARATAAAACCTTAAAATGGTTCTACAGAAACAGTACCCCAAATTGAATCTGTTCCTTCAGACTTTTTCATCTCAGAGACCCACCAGTTTTGGAAAGGAAGACTGCAGCCTACTCAACTACCTATAATGTCCTTATGAAAATAACCTCTTCCTGTACAGACACCCACAGTCTCACCACACACAGGAAGGCCAYAGCTGCCCAGCTCTTGCAGGCAAGCAGGGTACGTAAGTGCATCAGGCTCTCTAGCTTTGACACTCACTGGCAGTCCTGTCAACACCTATGAGGCAAGCTACACATATTAACACCCTGTCTGCTCCCAAAGCTTACAGGGGATAAATAATAATGTGCTTAGGCATGCTTGCAAACTTTCCTAAAAACGGACATCTCGAGCTAATCTTAGAGCCTCCTAAACCTGCAAGGGGGAGSACAGGGCAGGCAAGTGTTTAAATCTCTCTTGTATTTTTCATTACCATGACAAAGGCCCTTCTTTTTCTCTTGCATTTGCTTTTCACCTCAGAAGTAGAAGGAAAATATCCATCAACTCAAAACAAGTGTCCCTTGATCACTTCCTGACCCAGGCACCAGACCTCCCTGTCACCTCAGTTTGRCAATGACCCAAGTCAGCAGAAACATCCCTGTGCAGCACCAGGGCACTGACAGACAGCCTCCCTCCAGCTTCTGCAGCCACAGACTCACATCAGACTGGCACTGCCAGCTTTTCTTACAGGCAGTACCAGCTCAAAGAGGCTTCTTCTTCCCTGCTCAAACCACCTGGACCAGCCAGGCTGGAACAATTATTCATGGGGCAGGTCACAAAGGAAAACAAATCAAGAAACTGATTTGGGATTTATTTGTTCCTTTGTTAGTTTTGTTATTGTTTTTGTTCTTTTTTTTTCCCTCTGCAGGTTTATTTTTAATCCACATTAAGTTCCCCAATTCAGAATTCTGCCAACATGATTGAGGGGGAGGCAGATAACAGCATCATTACAGAGCAGCAGAACTGCCCTTGAGAGGTGGTAGCAAGAGTGGAGTTAAGCATTGTCCCATCTCGGCCTTTAAAGCATCATTCCATTCCAGAACTTTCTTTCCAATTGTCCATTACATGCACAAGAGAAGCAATCAGCAATTCTCAATTACCTGCTTAGGAGAGTTATAGCCATGTATCCAATGGCAGGGACACACATGTCCAAAAAAATCCAAAGCCCAAACCAAACCCACACCGAGAAAGACTTCTTTTGTTTTACCTCTAGTCAAGTAAAAGACCAACATCTTGTCCAATAATTTGTGGGAAAACATAATAAACCACAACCATGAGGAATCCTAAGCCTCAAAACTCAGCAGCATTAGGTTTGAGAACTGCTTATGAGAACAGGTCAGGAACTTGCAAATCATCTTCCCAGAAGTTCTGAATTAAACTACAATGACTCCTATTCTACCAGAAGCAGAAACAAGCCCATCTTTCACTGCCCAGTCAAACATGCATGAGCCAYAATAAAAAACAGACAACAAAGAAAACTGCAACATCAGCAACATATTCAACATACAGAAAAGACTGATTTTAAACTCACACAAATCAGGAGTTTTAGAAAAAATTAAAAATGCAATCAAAGATACAGCTAGACTAGCCATAAGCTCAAAAACCACTGGAAAACTAAATAAAGCAAGGAGGCACCAGTAAGCTTTGTGAATACCTCAAAACAATTAGAAAAATAAATTATTTCTGGAAAGTGTGAAAATCATCAGGGGAAAAAAGTGAACACTCTGCATGGCAGAACAAGAAGAACAAGGAACAGYACAGCTCCTGCAGACACATGATGACAATAAAGGCACTTTCAAAGATTAGAACTTAGGTCACATTCTTCAGCTGCCTACACAAAAATCAAAGGCGGCAGAGAGATCTCCAAGCCTCCCAAGGCTACCACAACGTTTTCCAATTCCAGATGCTCAAGTTCAGGGAAGGAAAAACAAGTTGAGCCTTTTTGTTTTTACCCCACTCCAAGCCCTCTGAAAAGCACAATGGCAAAACCAGGAGTAGCATTGAGAGCAAGTGCTTGGAAGAAAAATTCTTATGGGACTGGAGTGAAATCCATGTTTGCAGCACCCATCTACAGCTTCCAAACAWCACAGAAAATCAGATCAACTTGAAAAGATGATAACGAAATACCTACACTGGTAATGAACTACATGTCATTTGGGAGTCTGCTCGAGTCATGACTACCCTGCAATTAGCAGTCATTAAGAGCAGAGTGCTCAGAACTGGGGTTTAACTAACAGGGTTTGAGGTTTTTTTAATCTTGTGAATTTTTAATCACTCTGTGATATCTCCTTGATTTATCTCCTGCTTTACTGTTGCCATCAGTCTGTTCACCAACTCATTAACAGACTGACTGCCAGGGCAAAGGAAGGATGGTTTCACAGCACTGCCTGAGACTCAAGAAATCTCAGAATCTTGGTTATTTTTCATTTTTTCCTGAAAAGTCCCCAAGTTCATCTAATGCCCCTCTACTCCTGTGAAATGGGAAAACATATTCCACACTTTTCAGAGCTTTGCAAGGACAAACTGCAGTCTCTGAGAGACAAGGTGCTCTCAGGGTAAAACTGAGGATAAAAAAAAAAAAAAAGCAGAGTATTTCAGAAACCAGAACTAGGGGCKGCTGAGCAACTTCTCAATTGCTTCATGAAGACTCACCTTTGCTGAATACCTGAGGCCCAGCTGGTGAAGCACAGGTCTCCTCTCCCACTGCCACCCGCCCCGTGCAGTTTGTATTCCACCATTTCATTAAATCACATCTCAAAACCAAACATCAGCTGAACAGCCACAGAACTCCACACCTTTCTTTACAAAGGTTCCCTACAGTTTTATTATTCCCAAAGCAGCTTTTACCTCTCCAGCTTTCAGGAGACCAGCAGAAGCATAATAGTTAGCCACAATACAGGCACGCAGCTTGTCCATCATCCTCCTGGCTTCAATCAAGCGCTGCGAAAATAAAAAGAAACAGAGTCATGAGAACCACTGCAGCAATCTCCCACACCCCAAACAACAGGATCTAAGGTATTTATAAGAATAAACCTTCATACCTGATCTATAACTTCAATTTCATGTTCTTTACTCTTCATTTCGACAGCAAACTGTTCCTTTATAATAGTCTCAATCTTCTGCACAGTAACATCTCGAGCTGTACAAGGCCACACATGGAAAATAAAGAAGGAGGAAGTATTTACACTTCTATTTTTGAGGCTCGATTTGACAACAGAAAGATCAGAAACTGCTGCAGAGTGAGAAGCAAAGGGATAAGTTCAGCACACATACACATAAAGAGACGGATCACTTTCCTGCAAAAAAAAGTTACGTCTTAACAAAAACCACATGTATTGTTAAAAGCAGGCTTATATGGAGAGCTATTTTTTCCTTTTTAGGTCTGAGATGACAAGTAACAGAAAATGGGAAGAACAGGGCCGGTTTGTTTACTTCTGTCTCAGAAAAGCTGTAAACAGTAAAAGGAAAACTCCACCGTGCAGCCTCAGTGGCCGCTGCGATTGCGCCAGAGTGAGCTGGAACACTACAGACATTTTTGTGCTCTCCTTGGCCAGATACACATCCAGGAAATTTACACCACATCATGCAGGAATAATAAAGCAAATTCATATTTATATGTTCAGCCCTGGCATGACGTGCAGCCTGCTCTGGAGTGCTACAAGCCATTTATTACTCACAAAGGAAACTACGTTATCAAGAGCTGATTTACCTCTTACAAAATCCTCTTCCAGCACAGCAGTAAAAAMATGTAGCCTTTCAGCAGGAGTTTACTGATCTTGGTGGAAAGTATGTAGTTTAGGATTTCAAACTGTGCAAATACCTTACAGCAAATTAGTGGCTAAGAATGGAATTGGCATATTATCCTGTTTTTCTAGGACATGTATAAACATAGGAAGAACTATTCTTTTTGCTCTACACCTACTGTAAACTTTAATATTACCCTTCATTTACATCACCTCCACTACAGCAAGGGGTTTCAAACAACTTCTGTTTTTATCAAGTTGTAAGTAAGAACCTGGCAAAGCAGGAATTACACTTCTAGAAGAAAGCCTGGAAAAGGTGTTCCAGCCTGTATGAGAAATAGTGACCCCACTACAAAGCAGATYAGCAAGAGTCCAGTTTTCCCTGGAAAAATCTCACATTGTTTCTACATGAAATAGGAGGCAGCTCAAGACTTTGGCTTGAGCTACAGAGCAAGTGTATGTCTTCCTAAAAAGTACCTATCTGTTTGAAGAGGTTTCTAATACCCCAGCAGACAGAGGAAAGAAAAACAAGTCAAAGCTTTGCTGGCATCTTCCAGATGGCATACATAATTTTACTGTCTGATCAGGTACCTACAACAGGAGTGAGGCATGGATGCAACCAGGGGTATCCTAAATAACTGTCCTTTACACATACATATACACACAGACACATATATATACATACATATATATATATAGCTCTTTGTGTGTGTATATATGTATTTTAGGACCAGAAATAGTTCAAGCCTACATTAAAACACAATTATGGTTGAATCTGTTTCAGTAAGGCAAAATTAAAAACCAGAGGGATATAATTTACCTTCAGCCATGAACATCATGATGAGGAAATTCCCATGCAAGGCTACACTTAAAATAAGCCTAAACAGATTAAGGTATGAGGTATGGCTCYAAGAGAGAGCACTGTATCTCTTTCCAAGGCTCATGCCATGCCATGCCACGCCAGCATTATGAAGATTTAAGCACTTTAGGATTTGTGGTTACATTACAGAGGCTTTTAAGAACACTTTATAATCATTTTTTTCCCAGCTCAGTGTCAACCACAGTCCCTCATTAAGATCATGTTAGTGAAATTYGTGTACTTAAAGAATTCTACTATTGAAAGATGGACATGTTCCATGAGAAGAAGCCAGTTTGGAGGAATCACCTGAATGCAAAGTTCACATTGGCATGGACAGTTTCCCAAGGCCATGAGACTCTGCTTGTTCATCATCAAGACCTTCTGAAAAGTYGTTTCAGAAGCAGATTAAAAATCCATCTGCAGTCCCTGGGACATGCCAGAACAGAGGGTGGTGACTTCTGGCAGCCAGGAAGGGCAGGCAGCTGGGAGTGGTGACATGGCCAGCTCCAGCACAGCTGCACTGGGCCCCCACTGGCAGGGCCAAGCCCCACGTGGCAGGCAGCACCTGCCCAGTGACACATTCAACCCAGAGTTCAGCCTCCTTTGGGCTGTCCAGCTGTACACCATCCTCCAAAACATCACCCACGAAGCCATGCTCTGYCCCTCTCCAACTGGCACCTGAAGCTCTATTCCTGGATCTTCTTCAGAGCCCACAGCCAGCCTCAGTTTTCTCACCTCCCTGTTTGTCAGCTTTTCCCATCACGATCCTCTCTCACTAGCTGTGCTATGCCAAAAATCACTAGCCTACTCCCTGCCCCCGGGGCAAGAAGCTCTACTCTCATTTGCCCACAGAGACTGCAACCTGTCCCAGGCACTCTGCCAACAGGCTGGTTCCCAAAGCAAGCATATGCAATCGTGCCARATGAAAACCTACTCATCCAGCCACTTGCTCCACTACACTTCTTTATCCACATTTCCTTCAGTCGTGCTCCTCTTCCTCCCCCCCTGCATGTTTCAAAGCCCCTTCCTTCTCCCTAAATTATCCTTTCCATGCTTCACAAAGCAGCACTTTTCTGCTCGATCTGCCAACTCTTGCAAGCATTTGTCATCTTCCAACAGCCAGTGCATGTACTGCAGGTTCGTGGTCTCTTCCACCCCTCATGCAGGTTCATGGACTTTTTTCCCCTTCCCATGATGTACTGTGACCTCTATACCCTAAAATGTAAACAACCTGACAATCCTTCCCAGAGCAGACTTCAGCAACAGAACAAATGCTGGAGTACAATTCAGCACGGGAAGATGGACTGGCAAATACTTCAGAAAGCAACAAAAAGCAAAGTGCTGGAGCTTTAGAGAGCTTGTGCTCYATCTCCTATCATGCACCAAAGGCTGCATCCTCACGCCTTACTTATGGTTCAGAGAGCAGGTAGGGATGACTCCATAGGACTACATCTTCATTTAGTCATACAAAGCTATCACTACCTGCCTTGCTCAATGTCTGTCCTTTGGCCCCAGCCTTTTCCTAACTGGTTTGCAGACAGCATGCACATCCATAGAATTTTCAATCCCACAGCTCCTACCTGACTGTTCAGCTGCTTTGTGCCGCTTGCTGGGATGTGTGATGGTGATATCCTCATAGTCGGGGTCCTTCTCTGCGATCACTCTCTTGATCCCAGACATGTTCTCTAGCCCACTGAGAGGAAAAATGAAAGCATTAACATTTTTCCACTGTGACTTTTGGAGCAGGCTTCAACCTCTCACCATGGGGAGGCCTGTGGTGCACCCCYCGAAAGAGCAGGGCCACCTCTCTAGTGGAGGCTAGCGATCGATCGTGCCACAGGTTCACAGCTGGGAGCTGGTTCTGTCTGTACAGCCCAGGAGCTCCAAATGCCTCCTGATGCCTGTGGCTCACYACAGCCTGGGTGGCCTCAGCCCCAGCGAGGCTGCAGTGGCGGAGCCCTGTGAGGGACGCACGGGCTACCACCCGTTATCTGGCAGGTGACTCCAGGAGAACGGAGCTCCCTCCACACACGGACCACCGCTCCTGGAAGGGGGAATACTGGGCACCCCAGCCGCAGACGGGCCCAGGTGGCTCGGCAGCAGCCCGGGGCTCCCCGCTCCCGGGTCACGCACCGGTTGTCCCTCGCCCAGAACCCCGCAGCCTGAGCCACGACCCTTCCCGTGAGGGGGCAGCGAGTCCCCCGGAGGCGGGAGCACCGCGGGGCTCGGCCCGCTGGCGTGAGGCGGCGTGGAGGCCGCCGCGGGGGGCGGTGTCGGCGGTGCCGGTGTCGGTGCCGCCCCGGGC